CAGTATTGAATGTAACAAATATCACTTTGTTTTTAAAAATCTTTTTTTTAAAAAAATATCTAAAATAATAACAATTAGAAAATATTATCTAAATTTCAATGCCTGAATGAGATTTTTTTTCCTTATTACATTTTATAAAATGGATAAATGGAGCTGGATCTGAAACTAATTGCTTCACTTGCCTGCAAACTTTTATCAAGTTCAAAAAAAACTATTATCAAGGCCAAGTTCAAAAAAAACAAACTATATTTTACATAAAGTTTACAAAGAAAGGCTAAAAATGATGCTGTTTCACGAAATGCCCATATGCAAATTTTGCATGCATAATTAGACACCAGGACGAAGCTTTTTATGTCATTGAAACACATAGTTGCTTTTTGAAGAATCATAAAAATGGTTGTTTTTGCATGAAAATATCCTTCATGCATTTTAACTAAAATTGTATCTTGTTACCTGTTTTTTAGTGTAAATAAATGGCATATGTGTATGGAGTTGGCAAAAATAAGAAAGCTGGATCACTCATTTTTGATTTTGTAATTTCAAAATATTTGTCAGTTGTGCCTGCAATTGGATGTGAAAACAATGTATATTTATACTTTACTCTTTCAATGAATATACTTTTTAATCTGCCAATTTTTTTTCAGGATTACATGAATCATGTTTTATTCAATTTGACAGTAATGTGCTTATGCTGAAGTTGGAAATTTTATATCAGGCTTTTTACAAAATGCAAGTTTATTTTTCTTAAGAATAATATATTCAACTGAAATATTTGAATCATTTCAGTGAAAAGTGTCCGGAATTTCCTTTCTTATTTTTGCTGACCGTAAATACTTAAAATGCCCTCGTTTTCTTAGATAGTTCCATATTTTATCGGGCATAGATTTTAAGGAAAAAAATCACCAAATTTTACAGATAAATGAAATTTTTATAAACACGTTACATATATGGAGTTTGCTGTTGCAAGTTTTACCTTTTATGCTATAATTGTTATAATAGCTTATGAGAGACTGTTAGTTGTTCCCGCCTTTGCATGGATTTTCTAAAGATAAATGTCCTTAACATGTATATTGCTGTTTGTCATTGTCTTTCATAATGATTGCCACATTCCAATCTATTAGTCAATATTTCTGATATCACTGTTATTTCCCAGTTTATCTCGGGTACAAACATATTATTTCAAACTTATAATGCTAGGGATGCCACAAACCAGGAAAAAGGAAACTCAAAATTTAAAAAACTAGTTATAATTTTTATCTTATAAAATGCTATGCATCCACCAGAAAAGAACAACCTTATGTAGTAAGAATTTTAGTAGTAGATGGGGGCTCATAATATTGTCAAATGTGAAGGAATGATGTAGAAACTTTCTGAATCTATTTTCAAGCCCACCCTTGAATTCCTAGCTGTTCAGGGTTGATACTCCCATGGGAGGAAAAGTTTTTCTTTAGAAACTGGGAAGTTTTGTCTTTTAAAAAAAGGTAACCACTCAGAGTGCAATATTTAACGTTGCTATTTCATTTACTATAGCATTATTTATTTTAAGTGTGTTCAGCTCTTCCTTTTTCAGCAATTATAACTAATATAGTTAGCCCAATACAAGAGCTTCAGTGATTTCCTCTTAATATATTGTGTTTTGGGAACAGGGGCGTACGCAAGGGAGGGGTTTAAACACCCCCCTTGAGCTCAGACAAAATGGCAAAAATAAAAATTTTAGTAGAAATTATGCGGGCTATTATTTTTTAAGACTATATATTTTTATTTGCGTTATGCCTACTTTTTTTACACGGTATTTCTCACTGAAAAAACACTTACTATAATAGAGTTGTACTTTTGAAACCAAATTCGCGTGTTACGGGCTGGTTCCTTTCTGTCCTGCCAGTCGCGATAGTTTTCGAGACTGGCAGTCATTAGCGAGGTCTTTACGCGATGATTCTGGAATCCTAGACGTTCTGTCGTGTTTGAGACAATTCGAGAATCTTGGAAATGCGGTGAAAAATTATATAAAAGGGGTAACGGAGTACAGTGGAGTTAGTTAGTCAGACTAAGAGTTATCACTGCCGCTTGTCTTTCGGAGCTCGTCGCTAAATCTGTTACGTTTTGTCTTAACAAAAAGTTAATTCAGTCGCCGAACCCGTCACTATTTCGATTAATGAAGAAATCAGTAACAATACCATTGGAGATACTGTGCTCCTTGAAGTTATTCATTCCAGCTCGAAACTTTGAGATCGTAGCATAGCGGATATTTCTATGCCAATAAATATATGTATATATTTGCTGTTCTTGGATCTTTAGGATGCCAAAACGCAAGAATTTAACGATTTTTAATCATTTTGAGAAAAAATCACGACCTGAAATTAGTGAGGTGACAGCATCTGGTACCAATGTAAGTTTTTCTATTGAACAGAAATGTTATACTTCCGTTGAAGAAAACGTTTCTAGCATAACAAAATCTGATGAATGTGAAAGTGGCCCTCAAAGTGTTACTTCCCACCCATAGGACACTGGACTTTTTTCAGAAGATATTACATGCGAGAAGATATTACATTATGTTCTTAAACTTAAAAAATAAAATCAAAATTTAACTAAACAATGCTGTCTAAATAAAAAGTCAAAATTGTTAGCTGTCTAAATTAGGGAAATAATAGTGCTTTATTACATACTCGAATTTCTTTTAGTAATTTCAGAAAATTATGAACACCCCCTTGAAAAAATTCTGCGTACGCCACTGACTGGGAAAACACAATTTTTTGTCCATATTTGAGGGGCAACCCTGCTACTGTTCATGAAATAATAGCTTCATCTCTTTCCTCAACATAAAAACTGCATTGCTCTACTTAACTTTCAATGCTTTCACATAAACTGACTAATTAGCTAAACACTCATTCTTTTTTTCTTTATAACTTCTCTAATGATGTTGATGAGGTACAAATGCACATTTTTTTTATTTGGGCAAATCTGATCTTTCGAAATACAGTAGAACTCTGATTATCCGCAGAATTGGGTGGAAAGGGCATCACAGATAAAAATGAAAAGTAGGAGAAAACATTAAAAAAAATTATTTTAAGGAGATAACATGAAAAATTTTATGTATTCATACATCAGGGTGTGTAGCCAAATCTTTCAACACAAAAAAGCACCTTTTAAGTACTTTTTAAGCACTATATACATTAACGAAATGCAAAATAACTTTCAAAGATTTTACACGATCTTAAAGATTTTTCAGAATTTCAGACAAAGAACTCTTCTCTTGATTATATTAGCCAACATCGAAAGATTTTTTGGTTCGATTTCAGAGGATGGAAAATGAAGCCTAAAATCGAGAATATCTTGCAAAATTCAGCGGAGTTGCACACGAGAGTGCAAGAATCTGACCGAACCCAGCTCGGTAGATGCACGTGCGAACTCTCGAGTATTTAATCTAACGTAAAATGATTTGCCCTTTCATACGCTACAGAACGACGGTACGCCGAAATGGATCTTGTTTGAATGCCATGAATTGTGAAAATATTGAATAGAACAATGAGAAAACCACGCTTTTTCATAATATGCAGTGAAAATCAACATGGTAGAGAAAAAAAATCTTTTCGAAAAGGGAAAGTTAAGCACTTTTTAAAAACGCGCCATGAAAAAAGCACCTATAAGGGCTTTTAAAAATCGAAAATAAGAACTTTTTAAAAATGCTATGCACCATGTACATGTGTATATATTTTCAGCATACAACAAAAAACTTTGTTCTGCTTCTAAATATCAGAATCAATAAATGGTAAAAGAAAAAAATGCAAACTTTAAGAGGGTATTCAGTTACACTCCTTTTTTTAAACAAAAATCAATGATGAATCAGGAAGCAATATAATTTTTGATCTCTAAATGCTGCAAATAATCGGAGCCCTACTGTAAATACTGATGATGTCTGGCAGTGGCAAGAGATTGCATAAAACAAACGATATAATTCTGTTCCATTCACCTGAATGTGTTCATTTTGCTATTTCCTCACACTAAATAAATTTCATTTTTCCGAGGCTATTTTTGGTAAACGTACAAGTTCTAATAAAGACAACATTTTTATATTGAGGTGCTGAAACTAAATCAATTGAGGTCAAAAATAGCTTGCGTTATACTTTTATTTTTTTAATAGATTAAGAAAAATCTTCAGTGTTTCATTTGAGATACCAGTACAAACAGTTTACTTAAAATGTGTGTTTAGCCATAGCTTTCTCGCGTAAGGGTAGCTACAATATTAAATCTTTTATAGGTTAACTACAATATTAAAATTTGCACTTTGGTATTCTGAAGTCAATTATCTGCAAAATTCTTAAGCTTGGCATTAAAGTACCACATCAAGTCAATTCACAGAAAAAATCAGGTGGGTTGAAATACATCCATCAATTAATATTTATTTCCAATTTGTTTTGGAAATTAAATTTTTATTTTCTTAACATTTTCTTTTAAAAAAAATTATTATTTTCTACCATTTTCAAAGTATAAGATCATTTTTTTAAAAATTGAGATTTATAGAAATGGGTAATAACTTAATGATGCTGAAGTGAAAAATAAGTTGAGATATGAATGGCTCTAAGAAAAAAAAAGTGGTGCAATTCAGAGATGGGTGTAAAAAGATAGGAGCTTAGCTGTTATTTTTGTTTTGTTTGCTGTAAAATAAAGAAGAAAATTTTTTTTTTAAAAAGGTGATCAAGTCATTGATACAATATATGGGTCAGTCTCATTCAGAATGAGCTATAAATATCTAAAAAATTCTGCTAAATAACTCAAGACTGTGTTAATGGGTAAAAAATAAGAACAGTATAAAAAAAAATTTTAGAGTGGTGTGCATGAATTCAGATTTGTAAATAAAACAAACCCACATTCATTAACTCAGTAATTGCTTGAAAGGTTTATTATGCCATTCAACAACACTGGGAAAAAAAGCTGCAAAATTAGTGCACCTATGATAGGCAGGGAAAAATAAGTAATCAAAAGAAGAAAGAATCACAATAAAATGAATAAATTAAAATGATTTATTCCTGTATAAAATATTCAGTCATCTACCGAAAACTTAGTCCTGAGTGGCAGAATGGGAGAATTGTAGTCTTTGGTGCTGTTCCTGAGGGCGCTCGCACAATGAGTCAGTTGTAATGCAGCATCCGGATGTGCTGAGCCAGGCAGCAGAGTACATTCCCGATCAAGTATGGTCGCCATTCCTTCTAGCAATTCATAAAATCCAAAAGACAGGGCGGCCCTTCTCAGTCTGTTCAATTCCTGAAAAAAAAAGATCAATTATTTCAACTGTGCACACCAGTGGTCAGAACCTTTTTCATACTTTGTACTAGCAGAGTTGACTGTGTAGTGGAAAATGCAAAGCAAGCAAAATGGAAGAGTCATCTTTGCATTTACAAAAACATTTATTAAGCAATAAAAAAATCTTTAAGTCAAAACATAACATCTTTAAATCATTCCTAACGAACAACCCACATACTATGCTTACAATAACTCTGTTCTCCCTGTCTGTCTTATATATGCAAGCATGCATTGAATAACCAATCAGCAACATTTCCATTATGAGGGTAAGAAAAACCATGAAAGCTACACTTATAAATATTTAATTTATTTTTTATGTCCAAAATAAAGTTAAAAATTTGGCCAGAAAAAAAGGAAGAAACTCCAAATAAATTTATTTTTTTTTTAGCTAAAAAACTTAAACTATTCTTTCTAAGCACTTTTGTCTCTCACCCTGTTACAGTGGTCTTTCGAACTTTTAATTTCTGAAGGGCAGTTCTTCTTCCTCGAACTTTTAGTCTGGAAGTTTGCAGTGCTATGTGCCACTTTTTGAAGAAGCAAGTGTGGTGAGCACTGTGATACAAAAAGGAAGGGAAAAAAAACATGTAGTTTGTAGTGATTAACGTTATCTTAGTAATAAACAAGGTTCAAACAAAATTAATGTTTTGAGCCTGATATGTGCAGATCTCATGCGAGTCCACCAGCAGATGCAATGAGAATGTCCCTGGTGTGTTTCACATAGTTTTTTTTTTTTTTTCAAGTTAAGTTAACTTCATCTTCAAACACTAAGCGAAATTACAAATATTTGATAATTTTATAGCATTTCTCGAAATTAAACGTTTAAGGTTAATGAGAGAAAAAATGTGTAAAAATAAATTGGCTCATTTATTATTCTTTACAATTTTTTTCTTTCAATATTCAACTTTTTTTTAAATTTTGTACATGAGTGGACATTAAATCCTCTGGCAAAATTAGTCTTCTAAAAGTAGACAAGCCGCGACAATATTTCGATAGTAACTGTAATCACTGCATTGAAAAAATAGCTGTAGTAAATTTAGAATTAATGAAAATTTGTAGATTAATGTAAAAAAATAGTTGTAGTAAACTACATTTGTAATTAAGTAGTTTTTCTAACCTGTTTACAATGGGGAGGGGAATGTAGTATTTCCCATAGAAAAGAATTTGCAGCATAAGAAAAGTTTATTCGATCAGTCTAAGTGAATTACTTCAACTTTATTTTCATTTATAAGAAATTAATGGATGCTTTATAGAAGAAAAAAAAAGTAAAGCAAACGCAAAACTCATACGAGAGCTTCAGAGTCAAAGAAAAAAACCTTAATACAGAAATAATTTGGTGCAAGCCAAAATAAGAATTTTAAAATATTTGGTTTAATTATAATCTGAAATTTAATCTTTCTTCAGCTGTGAACTTTAGCCATTATCTTAAATTTACTAAGTTAAAGGTGTTCAAAAGGGAGAAAAACTTCAACACAGCAATTTATACAAGTCTCTAATGTAAATCGACATAACTAATGATTATGAATTAGATTAATTATTATTTATGTTGATTTACATTAATTTAGAAGTTATTCAGACTCAGTACAAATTTTGGATCACACCTACTTATATGTCAAACATTACTATCGCGAAAAATAATTAGTAACACCTTTCTATGTATTCGTTCTTGATGAATCAAGACCAGTGGTCAGAAGTAGTTCACCGTAAGTAGTGAAACTACTGTAGTTGCTACTTTTTTTCATAGTTTGTAGTGTAGTGGGCTGCTTATTTTTAAAAAGTAGTGCAGCGCGATACAAAAAAATAGTTAGTAGCGATTTTTGGCAACTACTTTTTGTGTTATTTTAGTATATGAACAGGGTCCTAACACAGCTAATTTTACAAGTTTGATGGGTACAAATCTTCGCGGGCCTGTCGAAGAACGCAATTTTAAATGCCCCTGAGACTGTGAGTTAACAAAAACTGCGTATTTAGAGTCCGGTATAACTAATATCTAAGCTAGCCATTATGAATAATAGATAATTTATCACTTTGATCACATTTATATACGTGAATGTACACTCGTAAAACAGTGATGTTATTTCAAAGGAAGGAAATATAATTTCAATGTAATCGAGGAAATAAAAAAGCATTAAACCAGTGTTTCCCAACATGGGGCCCACGCCCCATCGGGGGGCAATTTGATTGTAAAGGGGGGCAATTCAAAAATGGACTCAACATGAGATTAAACCTTTTGCTCTGGGCCATTTAAATGCAATGCGAGATTTCGGAGACAAAATCGAAAGAAAAAAGCAAATTCTTAAATAATTGCGGTTAATAAATATTATGTGACTTAGAGATTTTTTAAGCGACAAACCTGAAATGAAGTATCTGTTTACAGTCGATGGTAAAGCATTTGTGAGTTATTTAGCCAATATCTTTGAAAAACTGAATATATTAAATAAGAAACTTCAAGGAACAAATAAAACTCTTGTTGATGCAAAAGCGAAGATGTTTGGCTTCATTACCCTTATTGAGTTATGTCAGAAATATATTAACAACCAAAACTTTGAACAGTTTCATTGGCTCCAAAAATGTGAAGTAAATGATACCGCTTTCCATGTTATTGTCTATCATCTGAAAATTCTATCGGCTGATTTAAAAGAAAGATTTAAAACAAATTTATTTTCCAACATGGATGTTGCAGTTCATGTTAGTGGATTTGTCTGATATATCAAATATATCAAGAAAAACTTGCAGAAATGCAAAATGATGAGTCAGTTAAAACTTTATTTAATATGAAAGGAGTGATGGCATGACTTCGTGAGGAAACGGAAAACAAATACCCAAATTCAATCAAATGTGCAAGATAACTATTGTTACCGATACCATTTTCATATTTAGCTGAATGTGGATATAGTGCTGTAAATGATTTTATTGGTAAAAAAAAAAAAGGAAATCGTCTGGATATAACACAACGGGAAGACTTGAGACTGAAGCCTAAGATAAAATCTACGTGCAGCAAGCATCAAGGGCAAGAATCTCACTAAATTAATATATTAAATTATAGAAAAATCTTTATACAGACTTAATCTGTATAAAGAATCTTAAAATTATTTCGAATTTGAATTTTAGTTTTTCATTATATGTTCTGAAAATTCACTTACTTTGTTTCGCTAACAATTTCCTAAGTTTCTTAAGTGAACAATTTGATTTTTTAATATTAAAAATTATGTATATGTTACATAGGGGGGCATAAGAATTTTAGAAAGGCTTAGGTGGGGCATGGTACAAAAAAGGTTGGGAAACACTGCATTAAACACTTAACAAAATCTAGAGTATTTGATAATTTCCTAGCATCTATTAAATTAAATATTCGCTGCCAAGAAGGTGATAAAAAGTTCAAGACTAAACGATCCAATAAAAAAAAATAGAATAATAAACTGGCTCATATAAACATGAATAAATATTTCTAAATAATTCTTCGTGTTTCATATAAGTCAATTTTTAATTCAAAACCATTTTGAACATATTGTGTAAATTAATTTCTCCAGCAAACTTCGGTTCCTTAGAAAAGCGAAGTAGTCACTACAATTCCAAAGTAGTTTGTAGTCACTACATTTAAAAAAAGTAGTTATAGTTAGTTACAATTGTAATAAAATAGTTGTAAATGCAGTTTTTCTTACCATTGATCAAGACCAAACAGAAATCAATAAAATTGGAAGTCATAAGGCTTTTTACGCATAAGAAGTGTATTTTAAGATGCTATTTGTGTATACAAGTGTATTTTAAAATTATTTAATAAGAATACATACTTTATAAAAATTCTGTGTCTTCTCTGGAAGTTTTCGAGCATGTCTTAATATTTTCTGGATATCAGCCTAAAAGATAATAAAGTTACAGTTAACTAGATGTTTATGTTGAGATATTCGATAATAAATCTACTAAAAAATAATGTAACTAATTTATAGAATAAACACTGGCCAAGCTAATAATAATTTAAAATAAAACTAACAATTACTTAAAGATAGTATTTCAATACCAAATAAAACACATCATTTTAATGATGAAAAATTTGATAATGGAATTATAAAAAATTTGAAATAAATAACCCCTCCTTTATATATATGCATATAATTACATAAATGATAAAAGAGAAAAAGTCATTACTCTTAGACAATTGTTGTCTGTTAATTTTGTTTGTTTGTTTGAGGCATTTGCTGTTGAAAAAGAAACACAAACAAAAAAGTTTTATTTCTTGTATACTTTGCCTTAAAATACAACATACAATCAGCAATTCTCTTTATACTTCATAGCTATTTAAAAAATCTCAGAAGAATACATAAAATAAGCAATGACATATCTCCTGGGATGCATAATGCACAAAATGTATTTTTTCTTCTGTTTCAATAGCAGAAGCATCTAATCGGTATTAAGAATAATTACATATAAAAATACTGTTTAAATTTTTATCTTTTGAGAAGATCACCAGACTTTCTCACAGTCATAAAAAAAATTTATTTAAATACATCTTTGAGGTAAAATGAAATTATTTTTTCAAACAAAATATTCTTAATTTTTTTCTTTAAATGCAAACAATCTTTAAAAGAATAAAAATTTAATTATTAAAGTCATATTTTATTCTTCATAAAAAATTTAATTCTGCTAAATATTCACGGATTGGAAAATTTCATTCCGTAATAAAAACAATAGTTTTTAAAATTTTAGTGTCCTTAGTCCTCAATGATGCTCCTTTTGACTGAATTCCTGTCACTCTCTTCTCTGCAAGCCACAAAATGAATCCAACCTTATATAAAAAATCTAATAATAGTGATAAATTTGCAGTATTCCAATATTGTCGGTGTACATTTTTATAGGCCAAAAAATCAAATGATAGAAACCAATTTTCCCACTTTAATTTACATTTTTTTTTTTTTTTACTGATATCAGCATGAAATTAGTAAAATTCATTAAGGTATTGTTTTTCTTGATCCCAAAAAAAATTTACCTAAAATACTTATTTTTTCTTATTTTACTCTGCTATTATTACATTTTTTTCTTGTTTTCTAAATTTAGAGTTTAATACTAAAAAATTAATTCTTAATTTTAAAGTAATGACAGTACCTTGATACGCTGCAGTTTACGATAAATTATTTCAATTGGTGTCTAAACCTACTAACTATTTCATGATCATTATTTTCAAGTGTAAATTATATTATAAATTACTGATAAAGATAATCATTAAATAATTCAAAACTTAGCGATCAACTTCATGCACAATGAGATGTTTAAGCTTAAATTGTATTCAATATATCAGCCTGTTTGGTAAGCAAAAATAATAAATTATAGGTTATGAACTCCCCAAATTTGTTAAAACAATATAACAAAACAAAAATGATTACTAAGCAAAATTATTAATGTTTACTAATAGATCTTAATAGAATCATAAGAAAATAAAATCAAACAAGATAATTTTTCTATTTACCAATCAAATTTGACGAAACATAAACATTTAATTTTAAGAAATGATTGTTGGATATAGAAAGTGCGAGCACAAGCGTAAGCAAACAGAATTCTTTATAGAACACATGTTTTAAGAGAATAATTTTAACTCTTATAGTAAACTGTTTTATGGTAAAAAACAATAATTATTACAAAGAAATCATTGGGGTTGATAAGCAGCAGCAAACAGGGAACTTAGCTTCTTAGTACAATAGGAAATTACATATTCAGACATTTTTTTTTTTAAATTGTTAACTTACTGTTACATAAAGTTTCATTACACAAAAAATCACTATTTAACATATTCATTATTGATTTTATTAAAAACACTAAATATGAATTAATTTTCCAAATTATTTATGGTTTCAATTTTTTAAACAATTTAAATTAAAATATTTGTTTCTTTAAAGAAAGCAAAAATATAACAAATTTTTATTTCAATTTATTTATTAAATACATCAATAACAAGAAAATAGACAATAATGACACAAAATAAGTTTTTCTAAGATATGATTGATTATATAAAATAGTTTCAATTCTTAATAATGGATTGAAATGCACTCTCAGCAGAATTGTAAGTGATCATTATTCTGTTAATACTCAAAGAATTTCTAAAGTTGATAAGGAATTTTCCTCAAAAATTTCAGTTTTTTTTTAATTATTATTATTACAGTAGAGAACCAATTATCCGGGATGCTCGGGACCATCGCTATCCCGGATGTCTGAATTTCCCGGTTTTCTGGATCGACCAAAAAGTGTCGTTAATCGATGTTTTATCGAACCCGAAGTACAAGGAAAAAGTGTAATGCATAAAGTAAGAGAAAAAAGAAAGGTACTCCTAACTTTAAAAAGAAAAAAAAATGGTAGAAATATAACATTTAAAAGAACAAAAAAATTTGCAAGTTTAGACAAGAAAATCAAGTTTAAAAAATACAAAATTCTCATATTTATTTTTTAAAAATAATTACAATTCCTAAATTAAATAATATAAACAAAACCAATGATTAAATAACGCAATATATTTCATACCTAATTATACGGGGGGAAACGATAAAATAAAAGGAAAACTTATTAATCTAAATAAAAACACTTGAAAATTATCGAACCGAAACGATAGTTAAAAAAGGCACTAGCATAAATATTAAAACCCGGAACAAGGCAAGATCAACGGAATAAAAAAAAAAAAAAACCTAATGATAAAATTTATGAATAAAAAGAATTAATTTATTGAGTGCGAAATTTATCGCGAAAAGAAAAAAAATCAAACGTAGTGGAATCAGAAAAACAAAACTGCAATCTGCTTCATAAAATAATCCTATGTTTAAATTAATAAACAATTCTCCTTTTATTTTATTTTTTTTGTTGATAAAAACAAGATTTTTAATTACAGCAGATGTGATTCCACACCAAGAAAAACTTGCAATTGATACCGCACTTCCAAAGAATGAGAATTTATTCAAAAGAAAAAGATTTTATTTTTATTAGTCGATGTCAAATAAATATATTTTTCTCTTTTCTTTTTCTGTTCACTGATATGCATGCAATGCATTTTCCCCACCCCCCTCGTAAATCAAGCAGAAAACGAAATCAGCATGCCACACCCTTGAGTTTGATTGACGGCCTAAAGGAAAAAATAAAGCATTCCTCCCTTCCCTGCCTTCAAGGTCACGGAGGAAATGACGCTTCTCTGGGTAAACGGGGAAAAAAATTTTCCCCTTCCTTACATTTTCTTCTACTCAACTTCAAGGATGAGTCCAATTTCCGCTTTTTTCGTTTTAGCTTAAAATCGAGCAAAATTTTTCCCGGTTTTCTGGTTTCCCGGTTATCTGGATAGCGGATAAATGGTTCTCTACTGTATTATTATTTGTGCTTCCAGATCATGGAGAATGACCACTTTGTAGTGTTTTAAATTTTGATATTTAAGTCAAAAGTTTTTCATATATTCTGTTTCTTATTTTGTACTCTGAAATTTACGAGAAAAATGAATTTTCGTTTCTCGTTAAATTATGATTTTTAAAATGAAATTTTGAAATGATAGGAAAGCAAAAGATTAGATTAGTCTTTATTTAGTCAGCCATTATTTCGAGAAAAAAAAAGTTGACCATTATTCAGAAGAAAAAAATTTTTATCATGAAAATATATTTAATATTAAACTTATAACCAACTATCAGTCTCACAACCCACAGTGGACGGATTGTAGTAGATTATTAAAGTGGAGCATCACTGGCTACAATTAGTGATACTCAGTCCTCATTAAACTGTTCTACCATAAAATGTTCAACTTTGTGCACAGGTCGTTGGGCAACAAAAGCGGGGAAGTCATCCCCTCTGTGGAAAATCAAAATGATGATGACATGTCTTGGGATAATTCTCTGGGGATGCTTCCAAAACTGCCGCTAATATTCCATTGTGCAGCTCTAGTGCGGCACAAATAAAGTACTAGTACAACTAACTAACAAGCAAATGGTGGCTTAAACCCTAGGAGAAAAGCACCAGGAAGAAAAATTTATCAACCTAATATATAAGTGTTTTTTTTTATCACTTCAATGAATGCAGATATAATGAAATTACTTGTAATCCTGATTGTCTAATCCATACAACACAATTCTGAGCATAACTTCTTTTCCCAGATGGTTTGACAGGAAAAGTTTCAGATCCTGATTCTGAACAACCCATGTTAGGAAAACTTCCAAGCCATGGGATAACATGATTTCCTAAAATGATATTTAAAAACATCAAATAGTATTACTTCAATAGTTTTGTAATAAATAAACAAGTCATTTAAATTATTTTTGAATTGTTTTCCTTTTTTTGACATGCTCCCAATTATCAGTAGAATTATTAAATAAAATTGCGATGATTTCAAAGTGAAAATCATTTTTAAATTTAGATTACGCCACTGTATATGCCAAAAGAATCATTTTAATATTCTAACATTTTATGTTTTGCTTGACCACTATACAGATCAACATACTATAATCTGCCTAGTGGTCAAGCAAATGGACAAATTTGTCAAAATGTATCCCTCCTATACACATTATTTCAACATGGCAACTTCGGTTTTGCTATACAGAAAAAAATGCAGCTCAAAATGAAATTTTCTACCTGCATAACTGCTAGGTAGTTAAAGGCTGAAATGAAATGCATGTAAACATCACCTAAACTGTGTCTTTCTTATTTTCCCATGTTCTTTGGAAAAACATTGAAATCCTGCCAATTCATACTGCTTTTATGGGATAACCTTTTGTTTCATTCAATTTAGCCTCCAAATAGAGGGGATTACTTGTAACAGATTCTGCATCCTTCTAAACATTTAAGTGGAAGAAAACAAAGTAAGAGGGTTTAACTCCTACTGCTAAAGATATAAGCCAGTTAGTCTTTGTTTTGTATCTAAAATCAAAATTTTACATACCTGGTTCAAAAACTGATAACATTAAATTGGATTTCTTTTTACTATCTGCCCAGGAATAGAGCATGCCATACAACTCTCCACTGGAAAATAAAATTTACATATATAGATTTTTATTCTGAGAAATAATTAAAATAGTTTAAGAAGTTAAGCATCCTTAGAATTAATTTTTAAAAATTAGTAATACTGCTCAGTTGTTTCCTTTAATTTAAAAAAAATTCCAATTATTAAATCCTTAAGGCTTTCTTTTATTTTAACTTGTTTTGCAAAAATAATTATTTAATGATTTCAATCATCACTGTTATTTCGGTTAATTACAACATTAAGTATTATTGAAAGAAAAAGTTTACTTTAAAACTCCATCTGCAACATAAATTTCTTTTAGGTATTTGAACAACACGTGAAGACCAAAAAAAATCAGCCATATAAAAAAAAACTTGGTTTTTGCTGGAAAAACCTTTTTGCTCAAATCGATCCTAACTTAAACTCAGACAGGGGATGATTTTTTTTTTAGTGTGCTTAGAATAGCTTAAAGAAAACAACGAATGAGAAACAAAATTTGCTATGAAAAGATTCTCCTGCTATATATAGCGTCCTCTTTTAAATGCATGTTTTGCTTCACGTTTTTCTCCACCCAGTGCATACAAATGGAATTTTCATTACAGACCAGTTGAAATAAGAACATTTCAAAAAGCCTTCTATTTACTCAGTTCATAGAAATAAGCCCAGAATAAAACGAGATCATTTAATTAAGTAAGGAGATCATTGATTTAAGTTCAAAAATAAGCTCCTTGTCACAAATTTAAACCGTTAAGATAATTCAAGACAATTTTAGGTTTCCAATTGTGTGAAAATTTAAAGTAAAAAAGAGAGAGCATACCCTAAATGACAGAGGGCAACCATCCCCTCTACTTTTAAGCTTCCGTGCAACAGAACACAAAAAGAGGGTTGTTTTCCATCTTCATTATTTGTCACTTCTTCTTCACCCTCTTCTATTTTCATTACAAGATGCTTCACTTCCTCTTCTGAAATAGATCAACAAATTGTTAATCAATTACACCAATGCAGACGATCAAATCTAGAAAAATTAATAGAGCCCATTTGAATCAATCAAGCCTGTATCAAAGGGATGGCAACAGTATTCCAGTGTGGAAAAAACTGCCAGGAAGAAATAGTTTTCCTCTAACCGAAGTGGGAGAAACTCCTTTTCAAAAAGAAAATTTAAATGTTTTTATTACACACAGAACATTTAAATGGTTTGATTAAAGCAGTTCATAATTTCAATCTAGTTTGAATAATACAATTAATTTTAAAGCTTTTTAATTTATCATTTTTAAATAAGGGAAAACTAAAAAACAACAATAGGAGAAAAAATCCAATGAATTTATTGCAGAATTAAAATAACTGTTGTTTTTCAATTATTTTATGTAAATGAGCATGATAAAACCTTATTTGATAAATACATTAAAAAACCCGTCAAAATAGCATAATCACATTTTATTAATACAACTAAATTACAATGTTTTATAAGAGTTATCTGAACATGTAAGGTATATTTTTCGATGCAATTTTTCATGCTGAATTGATTGAGATAAAACTGGAATTAGTAAGATAAATAGTTAAGAAGTTATAATTGTTTTGTGTACAAAAAGTGCTATTTTGTACTTGCACCTATATACGCATCTCATGTTGCTATACAGTCAAACAAAGTATTATTTCCAGTCTAATTTTTCTCGTTTAAACAACTTTTTTTTAAAAAAAACAGAGAAAAGGTCTAGCGTTTTTTTAATGTAAAAAGTTCTGTTTTTTTATTTTAATTTAAACTTTTTATAACGAAATTCTTTATAAGTTCAAAACTATTTATCCTTTCCACTTGATTTTTATCTCATTCAATTCAGCATTAAAAATTAAATTGGAAAATGTATTTTACATGTTCAAATACTATACATGTTCAAATGTATATAAGTACGTGTCAATTGAAGTACTTCTTATAAATAAAGCACTTTTAACTCATAGACTGTTCATTTATTTATTCTCAACGTAAGAGACTATAAGTGCCTCATTTGTTTATATAGCAATGTCAGGTGCTAAAATATAATACATATAACTTTTAAACCAACAGTTCAAGCATCTTGTAATTAGTTTCGTTCAAAATTCTGCACAAAAAAACATTAAAACAATACCTCACTTGCCTGAAATTCAATTCTTCTTCCCAAATCACTCCCATTTCCCTCAAAAAGATGCAGAAGAGACTAGACAGTTTTCAAGTAGCATTCATAATGACATAACAAAACCTTCGGCCTTATTTTTGGTGAATTGCGGTGTTTTCTGAAGAAACACCCTTTTTATTGTTATAAATACTGGACTAAGATGTATTTCATCGAAACCAAAAGGAATCGTGATTACAACGAGTCGGACTTGCGAGGAATATTGTGCGTAATGAATTGGTACAGCGACAAATTGTGACTACAACAAATTGTTGGAGCAATGAGTTGTGCCTGTGAAGAATTGTCTCTACGACAAAAAAACCTTGTGATTAATTGTCGCTGCGACAAATTCTGATCATGACTAATTGTCCAGAGACAAATTCTTGCAGAACCCTTTCTAACAGAATCTAAATATTCTCTGTATTTTTATGATCGCAGCAACATGTTAATATTGGCTCTCAACACTGTATTTTTCAGTTTTTGTAGCCTACTAAATGGCTGCGTATCCCTGCTTTTTTTTATTGAACACCCTGTGTATGCATACCTTCACTTTTGCAACTTTGCAGCGGCAGAACCAAGTGTCTTGATACTGAAGGAGGACTTGAAATGTCTCCTATGCTGATGAATCCACATATGTGAATGCTGTTGCTGACTTCTGCTCTGACCACATCAAAGTCACATGTTTTATGAAGCGACTCAGGGGGTGGTGAAAGTGAAATATGGGATGTGAGGTGGCCACAGTGCAAAACACCGTGGAAAGGTTTATAAAATAAATCAGCGACCCTCAAAAACATCGCCTGCACACTCTTGAAATTGAGAGGCCCTTCAGGTACAAATACTTGACCCCCAACCATGTCCACCAACTTCTGATAAATTGGAAGGGCAGCTTGAAGGGAAGAGTCAGAAGAAGGGTTGGCAACACACAAGACATGAAGTTTGCAGGGGAAGGGAAATGGAAGAGGAAAAGAAGAGATTTCATCTGTGGTAGAGTAGAAAATGTCATTCTTCAAAGAATCTACTTCTGGTCCTATAAGTCCATCCGTTACTAAGAGAACCTGTAAAAAGCATATAAAAATAAGAAAAAGCATTTTGTGCATTCAAATTATGCAATTGCAAAAAATTGCCCAATGCAAGCAAAATTTCAAGATATCTATCATGAACTTTTGTCTGCAAAATAGATAAATAAATAAAACTTTTTAAAAAAATTTTTATTAAAAAGATTTTTAAAAAAACTTTTCATGCTGTAAAACTCTTCATGCGAACAAACAAAAAAAAAATCAGTTTTTAAGAAATCATAAGAAAGTAGCTTACTACTATATAATCACAAGTTTATATAGTAGTAAGCTACTTTTTACAAGAAGTAGATAGAGAATAGTGCAATAAAAAAACAGTTTCTAATTATTGCTGTTAACTACTTTCAACATTAGTTTAATAAAGAGTTTAAATGCAATAATTTTTAAAATCTTCAAGGGTTTGTGAAAAGACCATAAGAATGCCCCTGTGGTTGAACTTAAAATAAAAATTACATCTGATGAATCAGAACAGCAATTTTTTTTCTTAATCTATATATAATGAATAATATTTAAACAAACCATTATGAATAATAACTAATTTATCACTTTAGCCATACCTTCAAATGCAAATGTGCACTCATGGAACACTAAAAGAATGCTATTTGAATATAATTCTTGATCTACTTAATTTATTATAGTAATAAAAAAAAGGGATTAATGCTTAACAAAAGTGGTCGCAAATAGAGGAGGTCGCTACACAGAAGTGGTCTTTCTTGGAAGTTTCAAGGTATATACTTTGATAATACTATCCCCTTTAAGAGCATTTCAGGTAGGAACAGTAATTACAAAACAATAGTTTTTGCCAATTAGATGAAAAACTATTTCATTTCTTTAATTACACTAGACTCATTTAATGAAACTTAAGATCAATCATACATTTAATTTATTTTGTACAAATCAAAATGTTTTTACTTGCTCGCAATATCTTAGAAAATAAGGGGAACAGTGATTACATTCAATGAAGTCACCTACAGATTTTTTTAAGGCAAAATTAAGCTTATTGACCCTAAAAGAAATGGTACTGCAATTAAATGAAAACTGTTCGGGAATGAAGAATGTTCTTTGTAACCTAGAAGTTATATTTTATTCAACTAGAGCTATCTGTAGTACTTTATCGGCATCTTCCGTTCCAGTGACAGTAATTACACAAAAGTGAGGGACACATACTAAGTGATGTGTAGAACAAAATACACAAATTATTCTATGAATATTGATTATAAATATTCAATTAGACTGTCATACTATATCAGAATGAGTAGGCTTTTATTTCTGTAACATTTTCATAATACTGAAAATTACTTTTAAATTTTAGAAATGTGTGTTGGAGACACAGAACAGAAGCAACATTATGCCTAAATTTTAGTTCTTTAAAAATATCATATAAGTATAAAATGAGTTTGGTGCCTATTTTTTCTACTCCCTGTAAACAAAATATACCATTAAATAATGAAAATAAAAAACCTCGTGTCCATTTTAAACACGATTTTTACTGTGTTAAATAAAATAAAAAGCCCTTAGCACAATCGATATTACAACAGAACTTTACTTGACATGGTACACCAGCACCCCATTCCTCCATTATAAGACTCTGCACTCCTTCCAAGCACTTTATTAGACGAGCTCTCTCATTGTATTCGAGCTGCATCAAAGCACCCTTTATACTGTCAAAGTCTCTGGTGAATGGCACTTCTCGATGAGAGCTGAATGACATCTGAAATGGAAAATATCATCAGTAGAACTCTAAATTAACTTTCACCATTACAAATAAAATTATACTACCAAGTTAGCCATAAATAGCAACCGTGTTGCAGGTTTCATATATGCTATTTATGTCAATTTCACCATAAATTTACATCCCATTTCTAGCTTTCAGGAAATTTTTTTCTTCAAATTTGCATTTTTTTTTTTAATTCTAAAATTTTTACTGCAATAATATGACACACAAATATCGAACCAAGCCTTTTCATAATCACTGTGGCTACTTTTCAGAATCGCTAGTCTAGAGCTGTATACACATGTTTGGAAAAGCACTGTCAAAAAATATGAACAGAGATACACAAAATGGGTGTACTATAGTTTTGGTTTCATAAACAAGAACCTTTCTCAGTGTCTCAGTCCCCATTTCTTTTATTTGAGCTTTACTCACATTGCTTTGCTTTATTCATAAACAGCACTAAGTACACCTTGCCCTCATTTTGTCTCTTCAAATGTCTGTGATATTTGTATTTAGATTAATGGTCCACACACATGTGTGTGTCTAAAACATAATATATAATATATTAAACAAGTAATATATTAAACGTGAAAATAAATTTAAGGTCAAGAAAAATAAGGCGACGTAAAATCAAACCGTAATTTACTAAAGATTCTAAGAAATACATACCTATGCCTTTGTTTTATTTACCATTTAAAGTTGTTAAAAAACATTTAATAAATACAATTAAAAATAATCAAAGAAGACAGTAAAACCAACCTTTTATAACTAGGTACTTAAACTTGCGATCTTGAAGGGACATTATATTGTTAGATATAAAGAAATGCTGTTCTGCGCTTTGCAATAAACTTGTTTCTTGCATGTTTCTCTGTATATAATATGGATGGGTTGTTTAAAATCCATAGAGCTGGAATGGGTGACTTGCTCATTACTTGCTTCCATCCCATCAGTGGCCTGACAATTTATAGATTGCTCTTAGCTCGCACAAATCACAGTACTGCCATAAAGTATCTGAGGCTTTCTTTCCATAGTAATAAAATGCAAATTGATTCCACATAAAAGTCCTTTATGAAAGCGAGCTTGTTCGAATATTTTAGTGCAGATCTTTTGTTTTCTTAATTGGATTACCAATTGCAAAACTGAGTTATGCTATGGATTGGCTATCAAAAATTGATGATAAAATAATTTTTTAGAATTTCTATTAGTGTGAAAATCTGTGGTAAATATTTTATTTCATTTGTTGTCTAAATCAAAATAAGAGTAATATTAATGTAAAGATGGTTTCTGAGGTGAGAAAAAACATTTAAAAGCAAAAACCAAAAAACTGCAAACTTTTTTTTAATTATTATTATATCAACAAAGAGGTGAAATAACATAAGATTTACAAGCCCCAAAACTAAAAAGTACAAAAAATGTTGTCAAATTACATTGCCAAACATTAAATTTAATAGAATGACTTAATTCGAATCAGTGGTCAAAGATGCCTCTAATTTGAATATAAGAGAAGCTGAAAAGTATGTTATGCTCAATTTCAATCACCTTTGATCCAAATTACCAGTCTAAATAAAAAAGTTACATGAACATTTTCGAGCATCAAATTCAGTGTTAAGGGAGTGCATAATTTTACAAATTTGATCTAGGTGCAAAATACAAAAAACTAGCACAAAAATGCTCATAGACAAAAATAGTCGCTGCGTTTTTGCTATTTTGGCTGGTATCCAAGGTTTTAAGCAATATTATTAATTTATTAGGTTGTCTACTTTCGATTAAGTCGGTTGAGGTGGTTTCGGAAAAACTAGGACCTCCTAGGTAGATACACAAAATTTTGTTTTGTACCTACAAAAACTGAATCAAAATCAAAAATTTTACTATCAGATAAACCTGTACCAACTTATAAATAGGTACCTAACCATTATGAAAATGGCTGCTTCAGATAATTTAAAGGACTTACTGATCTTATAAATAAAAAGAAAAGGTTTAATAACAGAGAAGTCAACAAAAACAAAAATTCACATAAAATACATATATAATGAGTGATCACAAACTTACCAAAGCAGCAAATTCTAATTTGCAGTTGATATTCATATAATCTAAGAAAGAAGTTAACCCATGAACAGCAAGGTTTCTATATTGGAATTGTTCAGAAACATCACTCATATGCACAGGTCTGCACATGGATAAAGAAGTATCCACAACTATAACAGTAGGCATGGCTGCAATTCAAAATTTGTTTCTTTTAACACACATACATTATTAAAAAAAATTTATTCAGTTAAACTAGATTTTGTGTACTGCAGTTGAATTCTTTTCTTTTACTGAAAATAATACAAATCTCTTATTTAAAAATATAGTACATAAAAGGGGAAAATTTCATGATTAAAAAAAAATGTGTAAAGTAATTCATTCAATAATAATTCCACAAAGAATTAAAGCAAAAATTTCTACACCAATAGTCCTTAAAAAAACAAATTCAATTCTTTTTCATATTATATTATTATATTAATTATATTATTTATATTAGTTAGCAATATGAATACTTAACTTTGCTTAAGGTAGGACAGAACAAGTATCACTGTAAACTAAAGTAGAATGTATGTTACTTGAAATGAAAAAAAAAATTAAAAAAAGGCAAATAACATTTTTAAAATGTTCCAAATCTTCACAAATTACAAAGATAAATAAATTTATTTGTACATATGAGGTCTTAAAAATGGAAGAACTTAAAAAACTTAACTTAAAAACTTAACTTAAAACAAAACTTAAAAAAAGAAAGTGTCTCTTATGTGGAAAAGCAGATGATCGTAGATTAAACGCGTACATCCAGAAAAAAACAGCAATGAAATTTGGCATTCAAAATTAATTTCCTCCTCCCCTTCTCTTATAATTAATAAATTTGAGTTCTGCTAAAAAAAAATCTGATGATGCACTATTTTATTGTTCTTTTTCCAATGGAAAATTACTAACTTTTTTTTGCGTCCCCTCTGTAATTTTTTGCATATTTGACACCCTATAGCAAGTAAGCGAACTTTGCACTTTGAGTTGCCTCCCTTCTGTAATAGTTTTATTAGTTTCTTGCAGGCTGCTATGTGGAGGTTGCCAAGACATACCCAGAGGTTGCTATTATTTTGCTGCAGATCACACTAAAAAAATCTTCCCTGATTTACATACAGAAAAATTAACTCCATTATTTGGGGACTTGCGGTCAGTAGCTCGTGAGAAACTAAAATAAAGGGGGGGGGGAACATCTCAGAAAAGTATGACTCAGAGCTTCTGTATGCTTTTTTTTTTAACTTCCAGGTTTAAAATCCATTTGGCACCTTGGCGATTGTAGCTGACACGACAGATCACGATACGGAAATATTCCCCAAAACAGTTCATCTTTACTTTGCAATCAGACATTATTTCTGAGCAATAATAAAAAATTGATATAAAAATTAAAATCTTTTGCTATATTATATTAAAATGCATTCTATCTACGGACTGTAATTCTGTGTTTGTATTGTTATCATGATAATGAAATTCTTTTTAGATACTTTAGTTACGTAACTTAAAATTTTTATATCTTTCAGAAATATAATTTATCTGATTTTCGTTTGATCCGATACAGTACAAATATACCTAATCAAATTAAGAAATTTTAAAAAAAACACATAAGTTTCGTGACACATGAATGATCCAACCTTTTTTCTTTAACTCTGCAAGATCATTGATTCTTTCAGACTTCGTAAAATTGAAGATATAGTAGAAGAAACTTTAAAAACAAATCGGCATTTTAAAGATTCAAGTTTTTCTTTTTGGCCCCAAACGAAGATATAGATAATGACTGGCGGGTGGCTTTGAAGCTTCTTGCTCACAAGTTTGAAAAATCTATGTACAGTGATTTGATTGGGTGAAAATAGTCCATTAGTGACTTCTTCATTCTGCTCTAAGAACGTCAAACTACAACACGTGCGGTTTGTTTACCTTTTAATGGGTTCCTGGTTTTCTGCATAGTTTCTTTTCTCTTGTTTTGAACTGGAAGTTAAATCGTGTGATGCTTGAGTCTCAAGAATTCTTAGAGTTCGTCAATATCTTTTGCCCTTACAAAAAGGTGAGAAAAATTAAGAAAAAATTTTTACTATACTGAAAAATGTTATTTTTTGTAAAAACAATGTTTGACATTTCCAAATAAACAGTGCATAAAATTCTGTCAAAATAGAATCGTCCATGATTCTGCGCATTTATTAAATACCTTATTTCTTTATTTTTCTTCGTACATACTTTAATTTTTTATTTATCAAAATCTGTAATCACTGATGGATTTCATTATTTTCATCTTGATATCTTTGTTCTGGATTTAATTTTTGTTTCATCAATTCAACATAAGAAGAGATTTCATATTCATATTTGCCTGTTATTTCATTTTTTTATGATAAATGGTCTTGAAAAAAAAATTTCTGCCAAAAATTTATAAATTTCTATTCCTATTTTTAAATACCAATTCATATAGTAATTTCGTTTGCTATGTTTAAGTATTATTTTTTTAATATTAGTAGGTATTCTTTCTCAGTTTATATTCGAAAAATGATAATATATATGTGTATGTTCTACTGTGAATAAAAAAGGTCGATATAATTATTATTTGAAATGTAATGAGAGTAACCAAAAATTTTTAAATACTCAACTTAAATTAGATATATTTTTTGAAAAATTAAATAGGACATAAAATATCTATATGAATGTGCTGTTTACTTTTTTTTTTTTTTTTTTTTTTTCTATTTTTTNCTTTTTTTTTTTTTTTTTTTGTACAATGCCCAATGGTTTGAAACTGATCCATGCAATTTATTTGTAGTTCTTCTGAATTCAATTTTGTTACTTAACAGTGTTTTCATTACAGATAAAAAATGGGAGAGAATTTCTCACCCTTCTTCAAAAACAGGGTGAGATTTCAAAAAATTAAGTGAGATTTCTTAAAATTGAAAAAAACACGAATAATAGACTTGGAAAAAAAAATTTTCTTTAATTATAATACATTTTTGACATCTTCTAATTGAATATTTTTGCTGCATCATCATATGTAAAATGTTCTATATCTACTTTTTCATCAGCTATTATATTTCCGTATTTGTTTCGTTTTGACCGTTTCTACCGACATTTGCTTCATTTTCATTTGTCCGTTACGAAGTAGAAGATGTCGCCTTAACAAGGTATTTGTCCATCTTACATTCATGCACAAGAAATGTAAGCGTCTTACATGAAGAAACCTTACCTACGGTGAACACGTGGTTGCAGAGAAATGTGTTCTGAAAGGGGTTCCGTGGTTCGGGGGGTGTTGTTCTGCTGTTTGCACCAGTTCTGAACAATACTGGTAAATTGGGAAGCTAGATAACAAGGAACGATGATCAAAATAATGAAAGATCAAGGAACAAAAGTGAAACGGATTTTATTCAAAATGGCAAAATACGAATTTTTTTTCCAAAATTTGCGCATTTTGAAATTGATTAATAGAGTGCGCGAACTTCTCGCGATAATCATTTTTTATAGCGAGAAAAGAAAAAAATATGCGAGATACTCGCGCTGTAGTGAAAACACTGCTTAAGTAACTTATGTTTTTGTAGCAAGAATAACCTCAAACTGTTTTGTTTATGAAACTGTTTTTGTCACTTTAACTAACTGCATTAGGTACAAGACAATTGAAGGTGTAATAGCAATTCAAATTTAGCATGTCTATGTCTCTTCAACTTAGCAAAAATTATCGAGAACCACACATGCTTTTTGCGTATGATAATTTTATAGAAATTGTATATGCTAATAACAAGGTTTGAAGCATCAGAATTTAAATGTAGTAGGCATAGTGCGCAAAATCGAACCCCCTACAATGAAACACTCTAAATATTTTTTGATCTAGAGATCATATCTTCTTGCATTAGATATATATATATATATTTAAAATATAATTTTAGATGGCACAACTTAGATGAAATTAGACGAGTAGTTCTTGTAAAAAAAATTTTTAAACATGCAATTCTTTTAAAATTTTATGACTGCCTGTCTGTAACGATACCTGCAGCTTTACTAATGGCCCAAAGTTGGAGAGAAAATATTTTAATAAAAAGTAAAATTGAAAAATAAAAATAAAATTATTTTTTCCGTCTATTGTTTATTCTGGAAACCATTTTTCTTTCTAATTGTTAATTTAAATGGCTTTCTTTTTTTCGGCTAACTTTGTTTACTTTTTTTTAAAAATAACTTAAGTTATTTTTTTTTTTTTAATTATATTTCTCACAAGACTTTTACCTTTAAACTTACATAAATTTTTCTGCATATGAAATTTATGGGAGTAAGCAAATGTTACTATGTAAACAGAAAAAATTTAAACTTTATTAAAAAATGGCAACATTTACAAAAAAATGTGATTTTATCAATAAACCAGGCAGATTATGCTTATCCCTTTTAATGCAGACCTAATTATTCAACACATTAATTGTAATATAAATTTAATTATGTTTTTAGATCTGTCATTGATATGTAGCTGTAGAAAATGATCTTAGTCCTGTTGTTGTTGCTGTTCTCTCAAGTGACTAGTCAGTTACTCCTAAACAAGAGAGACATTTCAGTTCCAATTGGTCGAGAAGTCTACATACAAACAAATGATTTGGTATTTGATTTTGGTACAGATTCAGCAATATGCAAAGTTGAAGTCATTAATGATGAGCCCATGACCCAACGGGTTGGAACAATCATTCCTCAGGTCAGAGTTTTCTTTTATTTAGCTATACTCAGTAAGATCATAATATTCTTTAATTAAGCTATACAAAGCAGGATCAGAATTTTCTTTAGTTAAGCTATGCAAAGCAGGGTCAGGATTTTCTTTAATTAAGCTATACGAAGCAGGTTCGGAATTTTCTTTAATTTAACTATACATGGTAAAGTCAGAATTTTCTTTAATTAAGCTACGCAAAGGCAGGATCGGAATTTTCTTTAATTAAGCAATGCAAAGCAGGTTCAAAATTTTCTTTAACTATACAGGATAGGGTCAGAATTTTCTTTAATTAAGCTATATAAAGCAGGTTTGAAATTTTCTTTGATTAAGTTATGCAACGTATGATCAGATTTTTCTTTACTTAAGCTTAGAGATGAAAGAATAATATTTATTAGAATATAAAAATATAGAGACTAAAAAATTAAGAATAATTAATATCATGTAATAAGTTATAACTTTCTGTTAGCTGTAAGTAAAATAATTTGCTATTTAATAAATCTAATTAAATTATGTCAATTTTGTTTGTGTATATAAATAATGAATAAAAACTTGGTCTGCTGAAAAAAAATTAGGAAAAACTGGCTTTACAAATTCATGAATGTATTAAACTTTAATTCAAGTAACTTACGATGATTTTATTTTCTCAAATAATAGTTCGTAATAATTATTCAATAAATTTAATTAGAATTTTAGTTAGAATTATTAAGTACTTCAGTTGTAATATTATTATTTTTTCAATGATATTTAGCATTATTGATATATAATTTATCAAAGCTTTGATTGGTATATATAAAAAAATCTGATTTTGAAAAAAAAAAAAAAAAAATATCACGATTTTTGACAATGACAACCCTGGTATGATAATTTTTAAACTTCTGCCACCACTTTTTGATAATAACATTGACCAAAAAATTCCCAAAACCTCATTGACAACACATACAGAGTTCAGGTCATTGTTTTATATCTTTCGTTAATATTTCTATATAAGGTTTATCTGTAAAATAAAGAACAGTGTGCTGCTATTAGCTCTTGTTGTTTCATAAATTTTTCCCCACACATTTGTTGGTCTTGTAATATAAAAAATAGGATAAAAAAAATGGGCTATAAATAATCTTTTTTTTTATTTATATTTATATACTTTGACTGTTGTTCTGGAAACCGAAGAAATTTTAATTTCTTAAATGGAGTATTTTTAGTGGATAGTGTAGTCAGGATTTCTTTTGTTTAGTTTTCATTGTTCTAATATTTCTTAATGCACAATAAAGACAATAAACAAATTTGAAAATTCTTACATTTTCTTTCGTTTTTTTTAAGTAATATTTAAGTAATTAGTCTGATATTCAGCAAAAATTTTTTATTGCAAACCTTATTTTTTAAAAAGCTGATGTGTAACAAGGAAATTGTTTTAAAGATATGGTTAGTTTAACCTGTGAAATCTTATATGAAATTCTTGAATTTAACAAGACATTTTTCATGAAGATATTGTAAATTATTTTATTGACGCTGTCTGCGAAAAGTATTTGATTATTTGACATAATTTCCATCTATTCAAAAGAGTTAAAGCCCTCTTTAATTCATATTATTCAAAAATTGTAGGTAAGGAAACAACAACAATTTTAGGTACCTCATTTTTCACATTAATCACGCAATTTATTCATAAATCTCGCAGCCAAAGTTATCCATGGAGCTGTAGCTGCCTTTGTCCCAGTGGTCGTAAAAACATTATTTTTGTGGTTTACTTCAACTGCTTTTCGTTACAAATGTAGCTAATTACAACTACTTCTTTTAAAATGTAGTGACAACTACTTTGGAATTGTAGCAACTACTTCACTACTTTAAAGAGATGAATTTTGCGGGTGAATTTAATTTTCACCTTTGTCCAAAATAGTTTTGAATAAGAAATTGGCTAGCATTAAATGTAAGGGAATAATATTTATTCATGTTTACGTGAGTCAGCTTGGTATTCCAAAAAAAAAAAATTTTAATTTATTCATTATACCTTAAACTTTGTATGCCTTTTTCGACAGCGAATATATTTAATTTAAGAAATGCAAATTTATCAAATGCTTGTTGTTGTTTTTTTTTAAATTTAATGCTCTTTTATTTCCTCTAAGAAATAAAGTGCATCAAAAATGCTTTCCCTTCCTTTTAAATATCGTCAATGTTTCATAAGTGTGTATTGGCATGTGGAAGTGTGATCAAAGTTATTAATTATCTGTTTTTGTAATGGCTAGTTTGAATATTAGTTATATGTGATTTTAAAAAGGCAATTTCTGTTAACGCTCAGCTACAGGGTCATTTATTGCATCCATTGACGGCCCCCTTGAAAAGTTTTACCCATCAAATTCAAAAAATTTGTTGCATTAGAACCGTGTTTCTAGACTAAACTAACATTAAAAGTAGTAGCCAGAAATAGCTACAAACTACTGGGTTTTTTTATTGCACTACTCACTACATTACATAGAAGTAGCACACTACACAACAAACTACGAAAAAGTTGCGACTACTACTTGTTATGCGCTACTTCTGACCACTGTGTTGTTACAGAATGGTTGGAAAAAAAGTGACCCAATATGAAAACTGCTTGTGGTTGTTTAATTTAATTAGTTATATAATTTACATTTTTCTATTTAATTTAATTTTTTACATTACAGTGTTATATTTTGAGTTTATTGCATTGCTTCTATTATGTATATTTTCTTGTCTATCATTTCACCCGACTTGGAGTTTAATGAGCATTGCTGCTCCAGCCTCTAAATGAGTTTGAGTTAATGTAATGATGAGAGATATAAAAATATCTGTTCATTTTTTCAGCAAACTCAAAATTATGCCCTTTGTTCTCTTCAACTAATGTATTTAAATTATAAAGTGAAATTAGTTTTTCAGCGCAATGAAACTATACCACATTTGTTTTGTTGTTCATAGTATGTATTGAATTTAAAACCTTTTTTCTGTGTTTTGACTACTACGTTATTTATATCTTCTGTGATAATTTAATTGAAGTAGTTTTTCTTCATGAATTTGTAATCTAGAAAATTGCTTCTAATTTAGAAATGTTTTTAATTTCAGGTGTTTGATTGTGAGTTTCAACCAAAAACTGTAAAGTATGTGCATCATGGTTCACCTTTGGTATGGAATGATACTGTTAAATTTAGAGCCAGTAAATTTTTGAATCATGATACTATTTCTGAGTATTTTGAACTGTTTTTTATGATCCAAAATAGCTCATACGATGTGATTCTTCCACTGCGTCCACTGGTGATTAAAGAGTTTTTCGGCATCACTCAGGCCATCGATGATTCTGTACTGAATTTTAACTTCAGTCAAAGGGAAGGAGCTATGTGTAAAATTAAAATGTCACGGCATTTTAATCAAAGGCCATCGCATGGACAGATGGTTATTGGTCATGAAAATCAGGCTGTTGATGTTATCAAAAGGAGATGCAACGAATTCTTACAGTTGGGTCTTCGCTATCAGCATTTGAAGCCACCTTCTCCTAACATAGATTTCGTGTCGATAGCTGTCGAAGTGAACGATCCACTCATTGATAATATAATATCTGAATGGTATCATATACCTGTAATTATAGAACCAGGATTTCCAAACTTACCACCGAAAGCTTCATTTTCAGGTATGTATTTGATGGATGTAGATCAGTTCATAGTAACAGCCATCACCCCAACTGTTTTATCTGCTACTGACAGTGAAACACCATCTAACTTGTTAGTCTTCAACATTACGAAACCTCTTCTGCCCCACCAGGGCACAATTGTACATTTGTCGTCTGACCATTCGAGACCCATATCATCTTTTAAACAGAGTGACCTCAACAATTTTGACATCGCCTACAAACCACCTGCCACAGCTTTTAGGGAGCGACAGATGTATGAAATCGGTTTCATCATAAGCGATCCGGACTTTGCCCTGAGCGACCCTTTCACCATGCACATAGCTGTTCGCCCTGCCATCACCACTGCACCAAGGGTATTCATGAACACCGGTCTGATTTTGTTGGAAGGACAGTCCAGACCTCTGAGGAAATCTAATCTAGAAGTTGTTGATGGGGACAATATTGAAGAGGTAAAGATTTTTGTGACAGGTGGACTGCATCATGGCCGTCTTGAGGTGAGGGGCAAAACAGCCTATTCTTTTACCCAAGATGACATCTCTTCTGAGTCTGTAGTGTACCACCACGATGACAGTGATTCAGTTCGAGATAGCATCCACCTGCGTATATCTGATGGCATCCAATCTACTCACTTCAAGTTTCCCATTATTATCATTCCAAAGGATGACAGCCATCCATCTTTAGTCATCAACACTGGTCTGAAAATCAGGGGGAAGAAGAGTGAAGTACAGATTTTGTCAACTCTTCTACGAGGTGCAGATCATGACAGTTTAGATGATCACATAAGGTTCAATGTTACCAAACCTCCAGACTTTGGTAAGATACTGAAAAAGTTTGCCTGGGTAGATGATGGAAATGAAATATCAGAGTTCACTCAGCAAGACATCAATAAAGGGCTTGTCTACTACCATCTAAATCAAAAAGTGGTGAGGTGAATTTTTTTATTGATGTTATCTTAATTTAAGGGACATTTGCAAAATTGTAGTAGTCTGATAAGTGTAAAAAACTGGTATAATTATTGTTATTGAAGTAATAACAATAATTACACTTAAATAAAGAGCATATGGATGGGTGGTTGATTGAATGTTAACAATACCAAACCTCATAAAACCAGAAGAAATTTGGAAAACATCCAGTGTATCCCTCCGCTTATGTTATGTTTACGAGGCGATGTGAGAACAGGCTTAATATTGTAATAAGTTTTGTTATTGTGATTTGTGTTTAAATTTACATGTAATTTTCTGTAATTTATAAATTCTAACAGTTCATAAGCCTAAAACAAATTTAACAAAATTAATATCACAGCATAAATAAAGTGTTAGGTTTGACATGTTTCGAATGTTCTCCCTTATTTGTCTAAAAAAAGTGCCATTTGCTTTATTTTGGGTAGCATCATAGCAAGCTTGCGAAGTCTTCCAAATTCATTTGTTGTTTGTTTCACTGGAAGTAAATTGAAAGAATGCATTATATTGGAAACACTACAAGCATAATATATTTGACAATATGTTTTTTCAAGCTTAGGTGTAAAAATCTGTCAGAAGTAGTGATCCTCAAAAACTATGGTGAATATTGACCCTCAGCACAGTCTACGCTTATCTTTACATCTAATTAACATTGCAAATTAATATCTAATTAATCTTTCCGAACATTATAAAGTGTGCAAGTAGACAGATACATTTTACTATTTTCATAAAATTAACAAGCTACTAATTTGCATCCTTACATGCAAAAAATAAGAAAGCAATGTTTACGATGATAAATTGAAGTGTGATGTACAGTTGATGGTTACACTGATATCTGGTATTAAGCCATTGAAATAAAGAAACTAAAACTTTTGAGATGCCATTTTTGCATGTTGAAAAATTCCAAGTATCTTCAAGAGATTATTATTTCATAATTGCATAAATATCTAAACTACTACAACTGTGATGAATTATTTACCAAAGTTGTTATTCCCTGTGTTGGATCAGAATTTTTTTTTGTACTTTGTATTTCTTGGTTTAAATGAAAATTGACCTTAAAAGTATTATCATTACAATAAAAAAGTTCCATTAAAATAATAACGTTAAAGATATACATAACATTCATAAGACAACATTTTCTATATTTAGTATTAGACAAGACAGACAACTTTCTGACCAAATAACTGTATCACTTTCTTTATGATGCTGCTTTTTTTCCTAAAATCACATTCTCTTCATGCTTTCTTTATAAATAAATGAGAGTGACTGGCAACATTCAGGGACACCTGTTTGTCTTAACACCTAAAAATAGTTTCAGATGAATTAAATTATGTAAATAAAACATAACTTATATTTAAGCAAAGTTAAATTAATTTTAAAAGAAAGTTACTGACTCTGTATCCTGCCCTTATATTTAAAAATACTCACTCAAATTATTTGGACTGTACTGAAAAGTGTCTTTCAAATGAAAATTCTACTATATTCACATAATAAATGGAAAAGTATCCTCAAAATGTTTTTCCCGTTTATTGTTGGCAGGTGACCAGTGATTCTTTCGAGATAGTCTTGTTAGATACTAATCGTCCACCAAACATTTCTCCCCCCTACACTATTTCAGTGCAGGTGGTGGCTATTCTCAATGACTTTCCTCCAAAACAAGATCCAGCCTCATCTTTTCAGCTTGAAGTACGAGAGGACGACAAAGTGGGGTTATTCGGCAGCAGCAACTTGCATTATATGGATGATGCAGATAAAGAGATCATCTTCACTATAACTACTCCTCCTAGGTTCATTGGTTCATTTGCTCATGCTGGTATGTTCACAGTTTTTTTCCTACTTAATAATGCTTCTCTTTAACAAGAAAGACAGTTTTTTTAAGAATGTGTAATGCTTTTAATGTGCCTTTGATGAGCTTCCGATTACATATAACCTAACTATCTGAACCTTTAAAAATGTTCACAAACTACAAATCCTAAGTTTGTACCTTTTTTTTTATTTATTACCTTATTTTTTAAATCTCCATGATGTGCAATAATTCAATGAGATAATTAATAACCGAAAAGTTTACAAACATAAAAGATTCGACAATTAGTTTATGGTCACTCAGATCCACAGCACTGGCAAAAGAATTCTATATTGAAACTTCCTCTACATCTAGAAAGTCTATTTGATATCTAATTGATAATATTGTTTAAGTTAGTTTGAGGAGCAGCAACTGGCACTTCAACCACCCACACACACATACAGTATACTCTCAATATCTCAAAAACATTGTTATGTCAAAAAATATATTTTTCCCCTGATCCAGCAAGTTAATTTGAATTCCTATGTTGGGTTTCTTCTCAAAACCTTGTCAAATTTTTTTCGAAATAAAGAATAAATTTTTTCGGAAGAATTACAGTGTAAGTTCATTGTAAACCAATTATTTTCGATTTAATGCATTATTGTTCTTGTCTTACTTTTAAAAATAAAATTATCATTGTTGTATTTAGATTTATAGTCAAACCTCGCTGTCTCGAAATTTTTTTGACATCCCTTCAACTTTAAGATGTCAAGAGTATTCGGTATATAATATAAAAAACAAGAGTAATAAAAACTTAAAAATAAAGAATAATTGCATTAAAATAAAAATTACTCTTTATAATGCATATATATATATTACCTTTTAATTCCAGTAGCAGAATTCACAGGGTCTTATCTGCAACACTGTTTTCATAAATCTTAATTTATCTGCAACCTCAATACGATTGATTGGGCAAAATGTAAGGTATTTAAAAATTATATACGAAAACTTTGTCATTTAAAATTAGTTCACGAAGTATGATTGTCATTTCAGAGAGCCAAATTAATCTGCAGATGCTATGTGCCCTGCCTTATTCGAGGGTTTCTGATTCCAGACTTTTAATATTTTTAAGTATATTGAGAAATTTGGAAGTTAAATACATAATTTTCTTTTTAAAAAAATTAACTTTCTTCTCCAATAGATTTTTCATCACTGTGATATAGCAATCTTACTATATAATGTCCATTTTTATTTGGAAAACAAAGGTTGTTATACCTGTATATATGCTAGTTTGCCTTTTCCAATATGTGTAGATTCATATCCACAAGAAGAAAGAGACATAATTATGTTTCTTTTGAACAGATTCTGGAAAAATAGTTTATTTGTTTGATGATGTAGAAGATGACTATAGTAATCTGTCAGCCATAGTATCATTCACCCAGAAACATGTAAATCACAGGAAAGTAGGCTATGTACCACCAGCAGGTGAAATAGGCCCCAATCCTCTCTTCTTACAGTTTATTTTCTCTGCCACAGACACACATCAAAACACGGTGAAAGGACAGACCTTCAACATAACTGTTCTACCAGTAAACAACAAGGTAATTTATTCATATTTATACTATATGCAGGTTGCTTTTTAAAGGATGCAGTAAAATTCACACTAGCAGAACCATTTCTAGACTATACCAGGTCTAGGCAAAACGTTTCTCTGTACCTCTGCATCACTTAGGGCCTCAAATTTTTAGCCTATATTGTGCTCATACATAATATATTCTCATATATTATATATATGAGAAATCGAATTTTAAAAAATTCGATTTCTCAGGAACTATTCGACGGATTTTGCTCAAATTTTGAATTTTGCCATATAAAATTATATGCTTTGAAATAATGCAAAAAATAGTGTAACTTACAATACAAAATTTTTTCAACCATTATTAAACAAAATAATAAAATAAAAAAAAGAATTATATCTGCATTTGCCTTCTGAAGACGTTGAGGCCCACTCCTTAAAATCTTGTCTGAATCCTTCAGAGGGAATCCCCAGAGTCTACTGCCACTTCGGCTTTTCTGCTCTAGTCGCAAAGAGAGATCATATTCCAGCTAAACTTAGGCAACTAGCTTTGGAAATTTTAGACGAGATTCCCAGTGACACCGTAAAAAGTTACAAAGACAGTAGTGGACTGGGAGACCTAGCTGGTAGCGGCGTCTTCATTGAAAAATCTGGGCAAAATTACTCCATCTATCTCCGTAATCCTGATTTCACTTCAGTCTTTAGAAGTGAATTCATCGTAATTGAACAGGGCATCGATGCTATAATCAACAAGAGTGACTTTGGATCCTATCGGACAGTCGCAGCTCCCTTCAACACCTATACAATTGGACTAAAGTTGGAGACAAAACAAGCATCTCCATCCTTCTTAAACTTCAAATTATTTCAAAGTACCACGACATTCATCTTCAGTGGATACCATCCCACGTTGACATCTTTGGCAATGAGCAAGCGGATCACTTGGCCAAGGAGGGCTGTAGTCAATCAACACCTTCGTCCTCAGACCTTACCTACTCAGAGAATCAGCCCAAAATCAAAAGCCATCTATCAAAAAAGTGGAGAACCCCCCCCCCCTCTCATAACTGGTATGCAGCCAAAGGACCAGGCTCTTCACTTGTTCTCATAGCTGATAGAGCGTTTCAAACAGCAATTGCCATATTGGCAAGTGGACACACGAATAGTCTCTCGTACTTTGAAGGAAGAAAGACTTATGCAGTCTGCTCCAAATGTGAAGCCCAGCAGGCCACTGCCGAACATATCCTTGACTGCTTGGGTCGTTCTGAGGAGGACTTATACGCTACTCCACTTCTTGTCATCGACTTTTTGAGGGTCAACAACCTATTGGATCTTGTCTGACTCTGTCAGACAGATGAAGGATAAGAAACAACAACAACATAAAAAACTATAAATATTTAATATAGATCATTTTTTACATAGGCAAACAAATTTTATAATTTTGTGCAAAAAGTTTTAAATTCGCTTTAAAAGTTTTCTAGATATAGCGAAATATGCAAAAAGTAAAATTAACATTGAGAGATTAAAACTTTAGACCGCTCTCCTGACCAAACTATTGGGACTATATTTCTCAAATTGCAGCTTCCCCCTATGTGTTGGGGGTCAGAAATGCGAATCCATCGGGGGAAAAAAGGTATGTTTATTCAGCGAAAGTACGTTTTTGTGTCTGATTTTATAACTTAAAACATTTTTATAATTAGCATATTTGAAGTCACCTCCTCCCGCCACTAAGGTTGAATCCTAGAACGTGAAAATCCCATCATTAGATCAAAAGTTATTCTAGGTGGTCCTTTTTTTGCTCACTGTACTTATAGTGTACCCGTAAACAACCTTCTTACTTGTATACTGTACATACATTCGTAAAGCATATATACATGGTATTACTGTACATTTAGGCTATGAATGTACTACATAAATGCATGAATAAATATATTCATTATACTCACGTACTATATACTCTTCACGTACTATATATATATATATATATATATATTGGAATCACAAACTGTATTTACATATAGTACACTTGTAATTTCTTGCAATAGCTTTGATTACAAGTAATCACAATTGCTTGTAAACACGATTTCATGTAATCAAAATATATGATTACATGAAATCATAAATACCAATAATTATTTTTGTTGTGATTAATTGGAATTACAATTGCCTGGAATTACAATTACTTGGAATCGCAATTATGGTTGTAATCAAAATTTTGGTGAATTATAATATAGATTACAAGTAATTGATTACTGTAATCAAAATTTAAATATCATGTTATCATGATTGCAAGTAATTGAGTAGTGTAATTACATTTTTGCCCAACTGTGTGATCGTAACACTTGTTATCTGAAAATACCCATTCTTATCCATCAGTAGTACTGACATGGTCGGTTGTACTTTTAATTTGTTATCCTCTCTTGAAGGCTCCATATCTTCGTACCAGTGAGTTGTTTGTGGAGGAAGGGTCCTCTACACTTGTTTCAACCAATGAGCTTTCTGTCTATGATCCTGACACATTCTCCTCTGACCTCCAAATCAGCCTCTTCACAGTTCCTCTTCACGGCACTCTGCGAAGAAGTGATCAACTCCTCAGAGTGGGCGACCTCCTTTCCCTCGATGATATTCTCACCTTAAGGCTCGAGTGAGTCAACATTTGATCAGGTCGTCAAGGATGAAGTGTTTGTAAATAAAAGGCTAAGTTGGTTGATAACTTTTAAATATAGTAGAAGATCTTTATAATGCAACTTTTACAACTTTTTTCACCTTGTTTATCTCAAATCTATTTTCTTAGGTATTTGTTAACTTGATTTTATCATAGATTAGACTTTAAAAAAACACGTTTGTCATTTGATACTATGGACAGATAAATTATACTTATTTCTTAGCTGTGCATACTTGCACTTTTTCAAGTAGTTTTTCTTGTGGTAGTTATATAGAAATAGCAACAAAAACTGCAAGTAGAAATTTCTTAAATTTCATCATCTTCTCAATGATTATCTGATAGTTTAAATACATTTAAATTAAGTAGGTATAACGATAGAACATTTAAAATCAGTTTTATTAAATTTAATATCAAAGTATAAATCTTACTACCACTTGAAATATAAAAGTGAAATCTCCCGGGCGATGTAGGAGAAGTTAGTGACTTTGCTATTTATACCTTATACTTCTTTACTGCCTTCTTTATTTTATTTTCTTCTAAAGGTCTTTTGATGCTTCTTTATTTTGTCAGAGTAATTGCAGATGCTCATTTATGATTTGGTCAAATTGGGAATTGCATTGGGCAAAATGAGAATTATCCCCTCCTAAAAATCTTAGTTTCTGGCATCCCAAATTAAGCTTTTTTTTTAAAGAGAAATTATGTTTTTGTGTCTGATTTTGTAACTGAAAACATTATCTGCACACCAAAAGAATTTGTACATTTAAGGTAATTCCCTCGAACCATTAATATTGCCTCTTAGCTTGTAAAAGTCTGATCAGTAGATCAAAAGTTACTAAAGTGTTCTGTTTTTTTTTCTACTTTGTGCATTTTACTTACTCAATTTATTATTAAAATGTTTTCATTGTTGATTTTTCCCTTTTAATTGAAGGTACATTCATGATGGCTCTGAAAACTTCAAAGACAGATTTAAAGTGGGCGTGAATGACGGCCTGCATTTCATATCCAGTGATGTTATCGTAACTGTCGATCCTGTCGATGATGAAAAGCCGGTCTTCAGGCTCAGAGATATCACCTCTCCTCCCAGAATGTCTGTCAATGAAGGTGGATCTGTTATTCTCACCTCTGAGGTATATCACCCTCTTTATGATAACCTGAGCAGCATCGCTTTCTTATATCTTATTGCTCCAGCTTATGACCTCACTCACCCGAACTGTGTTTCATGACTTGTGAACTTACTTCCATTCACTATTGATTGTCATGCTTTAAAAAAAACAAGATTTTTCTGCCAACTCTGGCTTAAATTACCAGTTCATTATGTTTATTCCATCCTCTTACTTTATTTATTTTTATGCTTCATAAAGTATGTAATGTAAAGAGATTATCCTGAAATAGGCCTTGATAATTTTTGTTCTGTTTTAGAGTTAACAATTATCCCTGAACTAATCCGGAATAACTGATGCTATAACTTGTTTAAATTTGTATAATGCATTTGTAGGAGTGTAAAAAAATGAGAAATGTGTTGCTTTTGTTTTTCAAATAGGCATATAATCTTCAGATACCCAAATATTCATTTAAAAGAATGACACTGAATCTAAGATAAATATTTTAATTGCTCTTACAATTACACATAAAGTTTTACTGAAGTTAATTTAGAAGTAAGCTATTTTAGCTTTCATATTTTTAATCAAATTTTTTCTTTTTAATATGCTTAGCTCAATTTGTTTCTGAAAAATGTTCTTTTGAAAAGATTTGAATGAAAATTATTTAATTTCAATTTTCTTTTCTAATCTTGACAGTTCAAATTAGTATTGAAATACATTTGCTTCACACCAAGAAAGTAGAGATAGCCATTTTTGTGGTGCCATCTGTCTGTAATACAGAGAAATGCCTCTCAAAATAAGGTGAATGCAAAGTAAATATAAATAAATAAATCATAACAGCATAAGAAGCTTAATATTTAATAATAAATAAAGTTAAATATGTTTCACGTAATTGAAAGTTTAGGAATAAGAAAGTTTGCATGTGAGCAAATCAGAAATTTTAAAGCTTGCAGACACTTTCTTTAAATTGGGTGGATATTCGGCCTATAAGTCTCTTGTTTATTGTTATATTTTTTTAACGTGTCTGTAATTGAATAATTTTTATTAAATACTGAAAAATTAAAGTCATTAGTAATTTTTCTACAATTAGTTGCAGCTGCCTATTTATATTTTCAATATGCTTTCTTTACGAAAACTCCAGTCTAATGCTCAGTGAAATTTTCATATCACAAATTATTTGCGTTATGAAAAAAAATCAGACTTCCCTACGTATTCTGATAATAGATAAACCCTCTTTTAGCCAAATATATTTATCAGTGGCTCTTAATTTCCAAACAAATTTTTTTATCACAAAAAGTTTTTTTTTTTCTATTACATAAAGGATTTAAAAAAATTTTTTGAATTTAAATTCTTGAAGATGTTTTTTGAATAATCTGTTTCCTGTAGTCTTAATTAGAATGGCATTACTGTAATAAGTTTACAAAAAAGCTGCATTATTCATACTTTCGCGAAAAAGTATAGGTATAAAATAACTGTGCATAGATAAAAAGATTTATGCATAAAATAAAAAAATCTGCTAATTTAATGAATTAATAAGAAACTGATATTTATGAAGAAATAGTTACTGTGGATGATAATGTGGCATTATGCGGTAAAAAAATATTCCGTTTCAGCTAGACTTAAATTAAAATGAGGAAACAAAGATAGTGATGATAATTGTATTAGAAAAAAATATATATTATACCTTGGTCTGCTATAGCATGTAAAACATTTAAGAGTTGTTTCAAATATGGTGAAGTAATTGATGTAAAGCAGTGGCACTGTGATCGCTTTTGTGTAAAAGTACCACATTTGCTTGCTGAAGTTTGTGAAGTTAGGGGGAATCTGCAGGGCTTCATTTCATCATCATCTAGACAATGAGACAAGATAGTGGATAGTTAGAAAAATAGAGACGGACCAATCACAGGCTCCCCATTGTAGGACCTCAGAATTTCAAGAAATGTGATGTCCACTCTATGGAGACAGAAACAGTGGTTTGCGGATCTGGTCATGGCTGCTAAAGGACAACAACACCAATTTAAGATCGTTAGAAACTTCTAGTCAAAAGGGATAGGTTCGAAACAGTGATACAGCCGTTTTGTAACCTTAATGCAACAGGAGCATCCATTTTAGGAATAACAGTTGCCCAGAGCCCCTATACAGGTATCCTTTTGACAGTAAATGAGAAAGGGACCATCTAACAGGGTGCCAAGAATACCTGTTTTGGATAGAGGATGTTTAGGGTCTGGTTTTCTTCAGTGATGAGTTGTGACCGACCTTCATGTAATCGATAGAGTTATTCTGACCAATCAACTGTGCAGTGACGAAATCCTTGCACTTTATGTGAGACTTTTCCGGAGCGCATGGACCAAATTTCATCTTTAGGAACAATAATGCGCATCTGCACAAGGCTCGGTTGAAAGCCAAAACCTCCAATAGGAAGACATTCAGTTTTTGGAATGGCCTGTGATATCCCCTGACCTTAATCCCATCGAACGTATATAAGGCATTCAATCGCAGCTCGAAGTCTTGCTCTAACGGCCATCCATGAGCTCAAGGGTGCCTTAGTTCAGAAGTGGGTAGGGTTGCCACAAGGACTTATAAGGACCCACCCTGCTGAACAATATGAAATGCTGACGTGAAGGCTTTGTTGCTGTTAGAGGCAAGCATGCACCCTAATAGACATGTTTTCTCTGACTGATATGGTGTTGGTCAGCTACTCTACTGGATAAGTGACAAGTTTTCTTATTTAAGGTACAGGTTCTGCTTATTTTTATTTCCCCATATATTGCTCTTATATCTGATGATATTTTAGCCAAGTTTGGTTTATTTGCTTTGTTAGTTTTTTATTCAAAAAAAAACATTTGTCCTTTCAAATGTTTTCACCAGTGTATTTTGAATGTAAATACAATAGGACGTGTATACTTTGATAAATTTGGGAGGCAGAAAAATGTTTGCAAAATCCAAATTCATTGTTAGTACCAAAATAATTAAAAATAGAAAACAGCTTTTGTAGAAAATACAAAATGATATGCCAGTCAAAGTAAAAAAGAAAAAATTATCCTCCTAATCAAGCAGTTAAAGGACTTATTTCAAAATTCTTTCCTTTCTAACAGCACTCCTGCCACACCTAATGAAGGCAATGCCTAGTTATGATATTTTTGTTCAATCAGCTTTCGGATCTTGTTCACAGAAGCTTCTGTGAATTAACTTTTATTTTTATGTAAACTGAACATCATGTTTTTAGACAAGAACAACTTCACACCAAGGATGATTTTTTTAGTGTGGCACCTCGTTAATTACGTCCACTTTACATATTTATTTTAATGACATATTGCAACATTTTTTCTTCTTTTTATTATTGTTGTAACTTTGCTTTTGCTTTTATGGATAAAAAAGTACTTTTCAACAATTTAAACCACTCTATTAAAAATATGAGATGGTTGGTTTCCGGAGAAGGTAAAGATAGAAATAAAGTATTTCTAAAATGTGACTCTTAAATCAGAATTTTTTTTTCTTTTTAAATTTTTTGAACTTTCATTTCGGTTGTAGGAATTCAGTTTTAACAGTTTTTCTATTTTGCCAACTTCTGATTACATCTTGTAATAAATTCATGTTAAATAATTAATTTGTGTGCTTTTGGATAGGTATTGCCTGCATCTGATGCGGACACAAAAAGTGAATTGCTGTATTTCATTTTGACTGAAATGCCTCTGTTCGGTTCGATCACTTTGAATGGAACTAAAGTTCACCGTTTTACTCAAAAGAGTCTTTTTCGGGGTGAAGTAAGTTTAAATCATTATAGTGTCTAATAGGTATTTTTTTAGTTGGTTCTGCATACTGTCTATATGTAATTATTCAAAATTCAACTAATTTAAAAGCTTGGGTAATCAGATATTTTTGAAATTATTAGGTGAAATTAATTGCTTATAAATGAAAGAAACAGTAAAAAAAGGTTATTTATTTTCTGTTTCTCTCATGTTTTTTTTTCCACTTTCAGGTTTTTATGTATATTTTTATGTACCTATTATTCAAAGTGTTATTCATCTTTATTTTTATGGTCTTTAATCGTCCCCCTTCCTTTATTCTTCCTCTGTCTGTATTATTTTTCTGACAGTAGTGATTCTGATAAACCAATATTTTTATTTTGATGTAGAACTTCTTCCAATGAATACGGAAAAACTAAAATTTGTATGTTAAACAACTTCAATAATGTAGTAGTTTTTTTCTGTTCCTCTCCTTCTGTTTACTTTAAATTCATTTTTTTATTTTTAATCTTTAATAATTTTTATCGACAACTTTAATAGATTTTCCCTTTATTGTTGTTATTTGGTGCCAGACCTTGAGCATAGAAAACTGAAATTTTCAATGCTCAAGTTTTTGAAATTTTTTACTAGCTGGAAATTGCCAATTTCCCAGTATTCCTGATAGTTCAGCTCCACTTATTATCACTCACTTAGAGAAAGTATCTAATTAAGAGACATTTAACCCCATACCAGTTTCCAAATTGAGGTCATACAACGCACCTACACCAGTTTTAGAATATTCTAACTGATAACAGATTAAAGAAAAATTAGTGTTACTATTTCATGGATTCTGTAATATTTTTTTTTTCTTTTATTATTAAATTATTAAATATTTATTTTATGAAGTGTAATACACTGTTCTTTTTTTAGTAACCTTAATGAATATACTGTAAAAGACTGACTAAGCGCCCACCCAAATTTTGATGAAAATTCCTTTGATACGGAAGGGAGACAAGCATTAGCAATGGAAAAAGACAAATTTTTTAAGAAAGTCCATTTTTAATAAAAGGGATATGTTACTCGATTTAATTAAATATAAAACTAATGAAAGTAAAATTGAATGATTGAAAAAAATATGTTTTATTTTCAATAACTTTTACTAATTTTGTTTCAAATTATTATGAATATGTCATTAAAAGTAATTAGTGAGGAAGTAAGAATTCTTTTATAAAGAATAAACACATTAAAAACAAAGATTTAAATTGAATGCATTTATTTACAACCATTTTAACGTTGAAATGATGTGACTGAAATCTCATGAATAAAAATCGTGATGTTTGGTTTCACAATTTCAAATTTTTAGCCCTGTAAATACTAATTGCATTGTGCAATTTTTAAATCAAGTAAATTGATGCTTTATAAAATCGTGTGAATATAAATCTCAATATTGAATTTTAAAAATGAATGTATACAAGTGGCGATATTGGATTTTTATATTGTGTGAATGCAGTTCGCTATATTTATAATTTAAAGTTGCAGGGGAAATTTTTTTTATCTTATAATTTTATCATTTTTATTCTAAATATGTGGTCAAAAGTTTTTGCATGTTTTTAGTATCTGCTTTTTTTTTTTTCAGGTATCATACCTTCACAACAATCAAGAGATAGGTCCGAATCCAAAAGAAGACTCTCTAACTGTGATTGTGACTGATAAAATGTTTCCAAGTCCCCACGATGACAGCCTGAAAATATTTGTTACCATTCTACCTGTCAACTCTCAGTCACCACGACTTCTCTTCAAAAGGACTCTCCTTGTTGAGGAAGGGCAGAAGATGCTTGTCACGGAGGACAACATATTTGCCTCGGACGAGGACACTTTCCTCTCTGAGTTATTATTCATGATTGTGAAGCAGCCCCAGTATGGCTATCTGCAAAATTCAAGACCTGTTTTGGGCTATGAATCTGCTAAAGAAAATAAAAGAATATCTGCATTTCCCTTGCAAGATGTAACCAATGGGTTCATTTCATTTGTACAATTCAACCACAGGTATATTATTCTGTCTAATATGGTATTAAAACAACTTGGAAACCGGGAAAAAAACTTGCTCTGTTTTCACCCCACTTTGAACTCTTCCCATTTGGTATTTTTCATCCCCGTTTGTCGTGAGAGAACTTCAATATTTCTTTTGTAACCATCAAGATCTTTAGGTCGAGAGAGGCAGGCAAGGGACAAATTTTTTTATTTTCATCTAAGCCCCCAAAAGTATCGGTGGTTTTCTGATAAGCTATTATCAATCAAACATAAAGGAGCTGATTTCATTTTCTCTTTGGTTTACAAAGGGGTGGGGGAAATGCATATCAGTGAGCAAAAGATGGAAGAGGAATAAAAGGAAAAATATATCCCTATTTTTTCAACAACAAAAAAAGTGATATGGAGATACAAAATATTAACTGAAATATGAAAACGGCTATTTTTTATTCAATAATAAAGTAGGAATGTAGTGAGGCTGAATTTTATCATTTAAAAAATAATCAGAAGAATTTAGTAAATTAAAACTCAAAACATGGTTTTTTGTGCCAGTGGGGAAAAATACAGAAACCATCAAGCTTTGTCTAGACTACTACTACTAACATTCATAATTTATTGAAATGAAACGAATAAATTTAAGAGAGTTATGAAACATCTATTTGAATCCAAATTTGAGTAGTTTTTATTTTACAACATTGTTTTAAAAAGCTGATAAAATTAGAAAGAAATAAAAACTGATAACATTCAATTAAAACTGTGACCAAGTTTTGCCACACCTTATAAAAACATGATGTTTTAAAAAATAAAAATAAATGAATAAGTCGAAATCTTTTTCGAAACTCAGATCCTTTCAAATTTAGAATCTGGATTTGAAATTGGAAAATTGAACAATGATATCATCTGAAAGTAAAATGTTGGATTTGTGTGCTCCGGGAAATGTCAGGGTAAACGAGATTAGAAAAAAAGTCAGAGAATTGTCAGGGGGAAACGCAATTTTATTTAAAAACTGGGAATTGTTAGAGAATTCGACACTATCAAATTGCGGTATTTCACTTTTTCCTAATTTGCACAGTAGGAGATTTTTAAAAAATCTGATTTTTTTTCCCCGAACCGACCGTCATCCTCAAGAATCTTCTGTTATTCTTAATCATTTTTGGAGTGTTGTCTGAGCTTCTGCCTGGAGAGTATTAACATGCTAGATTTTTTTTAATCAACTTTAGTTTCTCACTTTCGTTATCTTTGTTTTATTATACAAATTATTGTTTATAATTTTGGACAATACATTATTATTGCGATTAATTATTACGAACAAAATGTTTTTTATCTGTTGTATTTATTTATTTGACATCTATTAACAAAACAATATTTTTCAATTGATTAAATTCTGATTCTTTAGAAGTGCTCTATCATTTGCATATTTTGCTTGATGTGGAATCACATCTGCTTTCGTTAAAATTCACCTGCTTTAATAAAAATATAAAGAAGATTGTTTATTAACATAAGCATACAATTATTTAATACTGAAAGCAAATGATTATTTTATGAAGCAAATTGTAGCTTTCTCTTTTTAAAGGCAATAAACATCTGATTCCACTATGTTTTTTTTTCCACTGCTCAAACAATACATTTTGTACTCAATAAAGTTCTTTTTATTCATGAATTTTAAAATAAAGCTTTTTTTTTAATACAGTTTATCTTATATCCTGCCTTGTTCCAGGTCTTAATAATTATGTTAGTGCATTTTTAAACTATAGATGGTTTGTTATAATAATGATTCAAAACACTACTACATAGATGAAAATAGCATTTTAATTATTTCTCTGCAGAGACTATTTATGCTATTATTTTTTTATGTATATGGCTACTAAAGCTGCTATTTTCGAGTGAATTCTAGTGGAAACTCTATTTCTTGAATCTTTTCTATTTTAAGAGCGAAACTGACTATGCTGTTCATGTCATTAAAGACATTCTTCTTTGCTAGTACTGTTCCATATACATTAGTAAGTTTTAAAAAATGTGTTCCATACCTGCCAACTTTTACGCATTTGGCGTAAAATTTTATTTCTATCCTTAAAGTGGTTGTAAAATGTATGCTTTTATTACATTTATAAACTTAATTTTTAATCTTTTTGACCACCACTATTTTTAATATAATTAAACATATATATCAATATGTAATACTGTCTTCTAAGTTTGTATAAGCTCTTCCAAAATACAGTTTATATTTCTGCCTAAAATTGTTATTTAAATTCCATTTTACTACCACTGGGGAAAATCATCCTCGAAAGAGTTAAAAGTTGGCAGGTATGGTGTTCAGATAAACCTTGAGCTGAAAGTATTTGAAGTTATGGCATCAGAAAAACAAACAAATTTATTCGGAATATAATATGCATGCCATTTTTACTATCAGATTCACGTATGTGTAAAAAAATTATGGTCTAAATAGTATAACCGTCAAAAGTTTGAGTCCCCCACTTCTTATGAAGGTGTGATTTACGTACTTTTTAGATTAGTGATATAGTTCAAGTCATGTTTTTCTTTATTTTTATGCTATAGAAATATTTAGGTTATGTAAACAAGGATTATTCTATCATGATATTTTTGTTATTTTTCCTTTTTTTAGTGGCATGGAACCTGAATCTGATGATTTTGAAATATGCATCTCAGATGGTGCACACAACTCTTCATCAGTTCTTGTGTATGTGAGCATCATTCTGGTGAATGATGAAGTGCCACATTTCTACTTATCAAATATAACCATCAAAGAGAATAATTATTTTGTCTTAGATAATGAATCTGTTATTGCCACAGACAGAGACTATCCTGGTGATATTCTGGTGTTGAGCATAAAGGAGGAACCAAAGTACGGATCCCTCACATACTTTTTACAAGCCATTAACAATGGGCCCATGCTAGAAATTCCCTTCAATCACATGGCTTTTGAGAACTTCGACAAAATTGTCTATCGTCATGACGGTTCGGAAACGAAAGAGGATTCGTTCGTGCTGTCTCTGAATGATGGACTCCATTCTGTACACCAGACATGTTTTGTGACAATATTGCCCGTTAACGATCAGCCGCCCTGGTTGAAGCTAAATACAGGTGCTCAGCAGGTTGAACTATTTAGCTATCTTACCCTAAGTGCTTCAATTTTATTGGCTGAAGATGCAGACACTACCCCAAATGAAATTTTGTATAAAATCACCAAACCACCTGTTCATGGCTTGATAGAAATTCTGAATACTTCAATATGGGAGCCTTTAAGAGAGTTCACTTTTTCTCAAGAAGATATCAATGAGAAACGCATAAGGTGTGTAACCTCTTGTAATCTTTTATTTTTTGACTTCACAAAGTATGTTTAAAATCACAATAAATTTAAACACAATGAATGTTAGTACTTCTGATTTTCACGGAGTAGTTTAGAATGTATGCATGTCAACTCCGAAGCCATTGTCCCAGTACAATATCTAAAATAATTAAATTTAAAAGTAAATATTACTTAATATTTAATAATATTAAAGCGGTTAATTTGTTAGAAACTGATATATGTATTTAACATAAAATGTTACATTTTAAAGTAATATCATATGGTTATTTTAAGATAAAGAAATAATCAAAATTATCAAAATCAAAAATGTAATAATAGCTGTTAATAATACTAAGAAAGGAAGATGAATAAATATTATAACTAAATACGGTTAAATTAGAGATAAAGAAATATTTTACAATTAAAAATTACTATTATACCTTTTGTTAATTTCATCTAGATCTTTGTTACTTCAAAAACCATACCATGTGATTTTCTGGCCAAGAAAAATGCTCTTAACAAACAATGAGAAATGGAAGTGTAGCTGCACTGGTGCTCAAAATTAAGAGAATTCACCTATTTTATCAAATTTAATGAAAAGTACAAAGTATTAAAATTACTGTTTCAGAAAAAGAGGCAAATTTTGTGTTTTAAATACCCATGCCTGTGTAATGGTTGAGCAAATAGAAAAATGAGTCTTATTAATGTGCATAGTGTTCACATATCTGACCGTATATCTTGATATTTTTTGTAAGAATAAGCAATACTATCGATATATTACTTATTTTATTCCCAGTGATTTTAAATGGTGCTTTTTCAGGTATCATCATCTACATTATTCAACTTATCAAGATAATTTCACTTTCTTTCTGACTGATGGACAATTCAACTCGACAACCGCAGTATTCGAAGTGGAGCTCGTCGACAACAGCCAGACACAATTTTATGCATCTGAATGTTTTGTCGAGCACGGGGGTCAAGTGGTTCTGAACTCTAGTTTGTTTTCTGCTTTTGACAATGCTTCTATTCCTGAAGAAATTCTATTTTTTGTAGTAACTAATCCACCGATGTATGGAAACTTGACTCTTAACTATGACGCCGCCACCGTCGTTAAAAACTTCTCTGCAGTGCATCTCATGAATGATCAGGTGTCCTACAAGCACAACGAAACCCACACAGCTACGAGGGATTCATTTTCCGTGTCAGTCTCCAATGGAGTCATTGAAAGATATCTCACTGTGAACATCATCATCATCCCACCATCAGCGAAAGTGAATCCGCTACCCATTCTGAATCACTCATTGCCTCTTTACTCGAGTCGTCAAAATACATCAGTGATAACATCTGAACACTTGTTGTCTTCCGAACCATCCCTTTCCTCAAATGAAATAATCTACTCTATTGAAGAATTTCCAAAGAAGGGATTTCTGATGTATGCTGGAAATATCTCAAATCCAAAAAATTTCACTCAAAGACATATCAATATGGGGCTGATATCTTTCTTGCCTAATCCAGGAGCGGAAGGAAATGACCACTTCTATTTCCAAGTATTAAGCAACAACAAAGAAGGCTTTATGTATGATGGGCGAATGATCTTTGAACCTACTTTGTATGTATCACTTTTTTTCTGTAGAAATTTAAGATATGTTTCAGTGACCACCACTTACAAAATCACTAGTTCATAAGATCAGTTGCTTTTTGAAATGAAATCTGCTAGAACAGAATCACGTCAATAGAAAAACGTGCTAAAACCATTCTGTTATGAAATTACTAGCTAAATATTTGTTTTTCGTACGTGGTAAGAAAATAAGCATAAATTAATCAGTACTGAACAACTCTGCAAAAGTGTGCCGAAAATAATTAGGCAAATTTGACACAAATACTCAAGGTAAAATAATTCTAATGTTTTTTTATTTATTATTTGTTGCCCTTCTCGGTGGCTTTATGTTAGTAGATTTAAGTGAATATTTAGTAGTTTATTCCATAAAAATAAAGATTAATCTGACAGAATGCCTGTTGTTCGAGTCAACTCATGATATTTAAAATTTAGTACCATCAAGCTTCTTTCTTCTGCACTTATATTTTCAATGAGGCGTAAAAAATTTCAGAAAAATTTACAGTATTGATGCAGCTGTAATCGGTAATAAATATACTCATAAAATACTTTGTACCTCCTATATAAGAGTATGTTTGGTACCACTGTAAAATTTTCCACAATGGCAATCAGACTTACTACCAAAATTGAGCATCATTGTTGTCATTAGTAGTATGATGATTTTTTAACATTTCACCTTAACGAATTCTCGTTTAATGTACATTTTCTCGATTAATTTTGCTTTTTAGTCGATAGCTTATTTTTTTTATTTGAATTAGTACCTTTTATCAAAATTAATTGGTATCATTGACATTAACAATAATTAGCCAATTTTTTAAGCTCTCTTAAACGAATTAATACCCTTTCTCTATTAATTTTGAATTTTTGTGCATAGCTTATTATTTTACTTCAATTAGTAACTATTACCAAAATTAATTATCATTGGCTTATATAATAATGGCGTTTTGTTTTTTTTCTACATGTATCCATAAGGAATCAGTACCATTTCTCCAATAATTTTGTTTTTCAATACAAAACTTTTTTTATATTTCAATTACGACTGATTTTAAATTATTTAGTTTTATTGTAATATGTTTTAAAAGCATAACTATAAACAAAATAAATACATGGTTTCAGGTAACCCGAGAAATACTTATTTGATCATTTAGTACGTGTGTGACGAAATCACACTGACCATTCAAATAACCAGGCATAATGAATAAAAAATAATTAAGCATTGCAGAAAGCACAATAAACAACTTTTTTAATTGGAGTTATTAGCTAGGAAACATTGATGTTATTTTAAAAATATTTGACAAAACTGAATTGTTTATTGTTTACTTTAAAACAATGGCTTCCACTAAACCAATGAGAGAATTGTCAGAATGGACGTAATTTTGATAGAAGGTGGGCACTGTATTATTTAAGACTTTTTTTGGAGATGCATTTAAATAAATATGGTTTATTGGATTAAAGGATTTGAATAATTTTTTATAAAATATTAAAGCAAGATTTCATAACCTTTTATTTATTTACTTGTTACTCTGATTTTTAGGTTCCAAATAATTATAAGTGCCGAGCCTTTCATTTATATTAAAAATCTAACTCACTTGGAAAATGTATGGAAAGAAGAAGTTGGCTTTAAAATTACCAGCAATCACCTAAAAGTGACAGAAGCAGTCCACCCTCAAGACATCCAGTTCCTCGTTCGCAAGCAATTGGAACATGCCACTCTATTTCATCTAAAAAAAGAAATGGTCGTGTCAGCATTTACACAAGAAGATATAGTTAAAGGAATGTTGGTCATTACCTTGAAGAAGAATACAACTTTCACACAAGATGGCTTTACATTTCATGTTTATATCAATGAAACTAACAGAACAGAACAAGAATATGGGTTAGTAGACTTTCACAAACTTCTTTCTGTTGAATGCATAAAGGCAACAAAAAGTAAAATAAACAAAAATTTAATGCCTGAAGGATGACAAGTGACTTTTTTTATTCTTGAGTCTTTAAAAAAAAAAATTTCTTTGCTCATTGCAAATGTTTAACAGCTTCAACTTTATGTTTTGATCTTTGTTTGTCTTCTATAATATAACCCTGCAAAAAAAATCTTTTTTAACCTTAAAATCACTCTTGTAGATTTTTATGTAGACTTACTGCCTAAATATAATATGTATGTTACTGAATGACAGAAATGGGTGGTTGTTGACTTCCACTGGTGAATGTTGACAATCACATAGTCGCTTTGGTAAATGTCCTAAATATATACTTGGTCTAGTTAAGTGCCACTGCCTGGTATGTCCTACGTCAATGTTTTTTTTTTCAGATTCAGTGCCACTGCCTGGTATGCCCTATGTCAATATTTTTTTAGGTCAAGTGGTGCCTCTGCCCAGTCTGCATTTAACCGGTACTCTGAACACTGATGTTTCTCCTAATCTATCCTCAGCAGATATTAAAATATGGAATAAATATAATAATATCAAATTATAATATCTGAATTGTTGTGGCCATCTTGAATAATTATTATCAGTTGTTTATCCTGTTGCTTTTTGCAATTGTAAGATTAATTTTCTGCATATTCCAGCTTCAAGCTCCATTTTTTTTTTCGAAACACTCCTAAATAACTGACATTTCTGGGTAAAAGCAAGTAAGGAGAGTTCAGGAATTTCTCATCTTCGAACAACATTTCTTGTGAGAGAGACACTCCACACCTGATTTAGCAAATATTATAATATATTTATTTATAAATAAGGCCCGGAGTTGATGACGTTTGCATATTTAAATTTTAAGGGTTTTCTTCTTCCCACCTTTTTTATTTGTATTTTTTTTTAATATGTATTTATCTGCCTTTTTTATTATTTTTAAGCTTGCAACAATCACATCAGTAAACATTGAAAGAAGCTTTTCCGGGTATAAAAATTTACTTTCAGACAAGAGAAACATTTAATAATTCAAACTTTAATGAGTATAGCATGTATTAAATTTTTTTATATGTATTTGCCTTAATAATATGGCATTTTTATGTCATTTATAGGGATTTTTTAAGGTCGTTAAAATCCAATCTCTAGTTGTAAATAAATGAATGAATTTGAAATATAAAATAATATTTTATGTTTCTTATTAAACCTGTAATTGAAATCTCTAATTGTGTATGCTATTAAGTGCAGAAATTATGGTATTTTTCTATTATTTATTATTTAAGAAAATACTAAAATGAAAAAAGATAACTTTCTTAACAATCATTATATTTTTATTGCAATTTTAAATTGTCTTTTTAATTATTGCTAGAGATTCAAATGTAGCTTTTTTTAATTTTAAATTTTATTTGGAAAAATTTTTTGCATTGAAAAAAAAAAATTTAAGTATAAGGTATGAAATTTTTTGCATCATTTTATAGAATGTAATGTTTCATGGCAAAATACAAAATTTGAGCAAAATGGGTCGAATAGTTCCAGAAAAATCAAATTTTAAGTATCTGACTTTTTTTAGATTCTATTTCTTAGAAACTATTCAACTGATTTCGCTCAAATTTTGTATTTTGATGATTTATACCTTTCAAGTCAAAAATTTTTTGACTAATATTAAATAAAATAATAAAAAATTTTTGCTAAAAGTTATTTTTTGCATGGAATTATATTTGAATAATCAAATTTTATAATTATGTGTAATAAAGTTTAAATTTGTTTAACAAAAGTTCTCAAAATATAACAAAATATGCAAAAAGAGAAATTAACATTAAGGGGTCCAAATTTTGAAGCTCTCTCCTGACCAAACTAAGTTGTAGCTATCCCCTATATATTGAGAATCAGAAATCCGAATTCATAAAAAAAAAATTATGTTTATTCAGAGAAAGTACGTTTTTGTGTTTAATTTGGTAACTTAAAATATCGTCTAGACTTATTAATTAGCATATTTGAGGTCATCCCCTCAAGCCAGTAAGATTGAGTCCTAGAATGTGAAAATCCAATCATTAAATCAAAAGTTATTCAGTGCATCCTTTTTTTTTGCTCTCGCTGTACATGGAAGGCTTTTTTGATGAAAAAGTGGCAACTGACAGGCAGTTTTTTAATCATCATTTGTTATATTTTGTCACCCTGTGGCCGATGACTCTATTAACTTTATAATATAGCCTGTTGACTAATGCTAAAAGTAAGGGCTACATTTAATTGAGGAATGATCTTTATTTTGACCATTTATAATGATAATTATCAGCAACACAGTAATCTCTACAGAAGGAATTTCCAACTTTATGTTTGTGGGCATCATGCAGGGTTCACGAAGGTGGGCCTGTACAGAGAAACCCTGTGAGTTTTTTTTTCAGATTGGCCCTCTTGAAAAAACCCATCTTTAAGCCCGAGTATATTTTTCCCCCTTTTTATCATTTTCAATCAATTTTCTTTATTGTTTTATAAATTTGACTTTGCCGACCGGCCTGTGTAGGGGTTAGGGGTTGCATCAGAAAGGTTCTGGGGTCGAATCCCGGGCAAGGCATGGATGTTATTTCCTTCTCTGTACTATCTGTCCTTACTGTGGGAGCAACATTAGCCCACCTAATATGGTGCCCCTGAAAGAGTGGCCAACAAATCTGCCCTTCAGGTGCCTGTATGACCTAGGTCATTATCCAAGTGGGCATTGGAAAAAAAATAAACCTTGTAACTTTTAATACAAAATTATGTGAAATAAAACATATTTCAGTCATTGTAAATGTTTTTTAAGTTTTGATTAGTTTAGTTCACACTGTAAAATCGCTAAAAGAATAAAAAACCGAAAAACTTATGTTCAATAAAAGGAAATAAAGACGCTTTCTGATATTTTAAAATTTTAGTTAAAAGAAAGTGATTTTGGGAATTTTTTTTTAAGAGATTGACAATGTTAGATCTGAGGACCTAAAATATTGTTTTGAATTTTTGAGAAGGCATTTAATGAAAAATCTCTTTTTCAGGCTTCATCTGCATTGGTCTGTCATTCATTTTGTCTATTCTGAGTATTCAGTCTGTGAAGATGAAGGAACTTTAAATATTGCTCTTCAGAGAATCGGTCATTCAAATACATCTTCTGTCAAGATATTAATCAATGAACTCACGGCCAGAGAGAGTCTCGATTTTGTTTCAAAAAGAGAGGAAAATACAGTTCAGTTTGATCCTGGTAAAAAATCTTATCCTCTGTTGATAGCTGATTCTTTATGTATTTCTAATGTAATTTGTTAGCTTTCTTGTTTTGCTAAACAAAGCTTTTCCTAAACAAACCTCCTTTAAGCAGACACTTTTGGGACCCAAAAATTGTTCGCTTATGAAAGTTCTCTGTTTATGGAAAAGGTACACTACCCTAGCAGGAAAATAACTTGGGCCTTCATTGGACTAATATTCACGAATCTTGGCACAATAAGGGTTCAAATGGCCGATATAGGCCTTCTACAGAATTGTCCAATTCACCCAATATTTTACTACCATTTTGCAACCAATATCAGCCTTATATAGAATTGTCAGATTCACCCAATATTTTATAATCAGGGGTCTGTCCAGACATTTTGTGAAAGGTCCGTTTTTGTAAAATTGGGAAAAAATTACTCGTAATTTATGAATGTAAAATAAACGTTAAGTGACATTCTTTCAACCAGGGTCCTGCTTTTGTGAATTTGCGCAAATAGGGTCCTGTTATTGCAAAAAACTTTTTCAAGGAGTTTTTAAATTGTAAAGACATACAGGATTATGCTCAACACTGTAAAATCATAATTAAAAAAAATTAAATTTTAAAAAATAAACATAAATTCCTGCTTTTAAATTAGAGATGCAACATACAAATATTTGATATTTAGCCTATACTGCTGCAGCAGAATATTCATTTCGGACGAATAAAGGAAGAAGCTTCTGCCGAAGACAAAACTTGGTTCGTTTACATCTGTCTTTCTTTCTCCCCCTTCTTTCTTCCCCCCTTCCTGGGAGGGGTTTATTCGATTAACAAAACAATAAACAAATTTGTGAAGGGTCCGATTAAAAGATAAATTATTTTGTGGAGGGTCCGTTTTTAAGTTAAAATATTTTGTGAAGGATCCGTTTTTATGAAAAGATATTTTGTGAAGGGTCCGTTAACTGACCCAAATTTCTTCTGAACAGACCCTTGATAATCATTATTCAGTAAGTCCTTTATTGGCCCTGAATATGCCACTATTAATACCAGTGGCCCCCATCCCCCCAAGCTCCTGGGCGCATTCATGCCCCCCCCCCACAAAAAAAATTTGCTAACTTCCCCCTTCCATGTTAGCTTGTTCGAAATAGTGCTACTTTGCTTGCTCATAATATGACAATGCTTCCTTTATTTATGTACATAAAAAAAAATTCTCTCGGCTAAATCCCCCCCCCCAAACTATTCATTTTATTTAGTGTAAAAATCCCCCCCCTCCAAGCTTTAAGTGGGCGCATCGTGCGCCCACCTTCCCCCCTGATGGGGGCCCCTGATTAATACTGCATAGGACCGATATTAAAAAATTTAGACATCCCAATATGGGTCCCTCTGAGCATGTTCGTATAGGACTCATATTGAGCTAATTTTGAGCCCAACTGGAACCAACGTAAAATTGTTGCTATGGTAATAACGAAGTCTAACACTATAAATTGTTTTTAGATTAATTGCAATGGTATGGAAATGATTAAATAACCTATAATAACTATTTACGTTGATGTTTACTTAAACTTTAAAACATAATTTTTTTTCAATACAAAAGGGAGGATAAAAAATTTTATATATATATACGTAATTTTAGATATATACGTAATTTTAGATATAGTTTCAGACAAATGAATGTGTTTTTCCTATTTTTTCAGATATTTAAGTTAGTCATATAATGCTGAATAGACGCTTTTAATTCTATGTCACTTCCTCAGTTGGTTAAAATTATTAAGTTTTCACCCCACCCCCTAACTCCTCCCCATCACTTGATAGGAAGCATGGTTATATGCTCTTGATGGAAAACCTCCTGCAATGCACAGAAGAAGGCAGCAATACATACATGTAAGACACTAGGCCCTATGGAGTTGCTATATTCACAATCGATCATCTGTTGAGTGTCTGAATAAATGTTTGATTTGTATGACTGCCTCAATGACTAGATTTCTGCTCTTTTTTTTTCTGTAACCCAGAGGTGTCAAATTGATTAGAAGAAGAAAAGAGTTTTCGATGAGGAAAAGGAATTGAAAGCATTTAATGCATCAGTTCAGCTTTTCAGGTCTCCTAACATGTGTTGTCCGAATGAAGAGATCAAAAGATGCCACTGTTCCTACGTATTTACGTGAGCAGTATCATTTTCTCACCTTTCTTTGCAAAGATAAAGGAAGGCGTCAGGAGAATAATTGATTCATTAGTAGTGAAATAGCTTAGCAACATTTTGAGCTATGGATACAACAAAAAATTTGCATGCTTTAAAAGTGGTAGATTGTTGCTTTATTTTCTTCCTAAAACTTAAAGCACAAATATTTTTTTTTTTTCAAGTTTAAAAAAAATTGGAGTCTTGTTTGAAGTGATGGAAAATTATGTTTCCAAGCATTAATACATATCTGTGTCCAGTTAAAGGAGTGTCCATTTTTAGGAAGTGTTCATAATATTTTATTCATTGAAGACTTCTGGGGAATTAAAAATATGTTCGTCATGAGAGACATCTGTTTTATTGGAGTGTCTGTAACCTGAGGTTTCACTGTAAACGGATTGGGTAAACTGGACATTTGCCCTGAGCCTTACCATTTCTAGAACCCTACCTGGGGGGTTGTGCCAGTGCTAAAAAAAGTCATTTATTCTGCTTAATTATTAAAATTTGATTTTTTTTTTTTTTTTTTTAATTTATTTATTTTTATCTTGGCTTCCGAAGACAGTGATCACCACATTTCTACACGCAAAGAAATTGCTTAAAATAGTCTTTGGGTATTCTGAAGTCTAAATGACACTAAAATCAAACTCCAAATTAACTGACTATTTTTAAATAATTTAAAATTCTCTAGTTTAACGTAATAAAAGAGGAAGTAAATAATGTTTTTTTAACCGTTGAGTTTTAATTGATTTAGTAAAAGTAATTAGTTTTTTAGTAAAATCTGGATTTAACAACAAAAAAAATTGCATTTCTAGCCTCATTATGAACTTTATTATGAAGCAGTTTTAAACAACTTGACAAATAGTTGGAGAAAAATAAAAAGTCTATGTTCCTTTTATGGAATTCATGGTTCATAATTCAGCTACAATAGGTTTTGCTAGTAGTAATTTAAGTAAGAGCATTATGTGGAAACGTTTTTTATTTGACATGCATGATTTAAAGATCATACAAGCATTTTTTTTTCTTATAAATGGAATAACCATTCAAGTTCATGTGATTATGGGACACAGTTATTCACTCTTCCATAAATGGCAAAAGTAAATTAAATTTAAAGTCTGTTTAAATTTCCTCTATTAAATCAAACTTTTCAGCATGACTACAACAAAGATGTGAATGTAGCAGAAGTTCAGTTTAACACCAACTACTACATCTACTTTAAATTTTAAAAAAAAATTTAATCTGATATCACCTGAAATCCAATAAAGTGTCAGTTGTGTACTACATATAATGTGAAAGTCTTGCTATCCATAATTTAATTAACAAGTCCTCCAAAATTTTCTAAATTCGGTGGGAAAAAAAATTTAAATTTATTATTTATTATAGCATTTTGGTTTATTTTCACTATTAGTTATTTTAATAATCGTTTAATTTCAGTTTTCGTATAATATTTTAGTTTGTTTTTCTTTTAGCAACAATTTAGATATTTGTGTTTTACTGACATTTTTATTATGGTGCTAAATTTTTTTCGATTAAATATTGTTACATGAAGCACAGAAAATCTCAGCATTAAATAATAAAAACAATTGGTATGATTTTTGTATGTACAGTGATTTTGAACCCAATTCAGAAGACAGTGATCCATCTACAATTGGGGACGTCAGCACTGTGGTTGGTATAAGCCATCGCTGGGATTCAAACTTGGTTCATCTATTCCCTGAGTCACCACAGCTCATGGGAAACTATTGTCCCCCATAATCTTTATTCATTATTACTAACAATCATAATAATTGTTTAATACATTGGTTTTTCAAGGCACTGACCATACAGATAATAAGCTAATATTTAAAATGTAGATTTTCAGAGCTTAATATCTGAAGTTTTCACTTATCTTAAATTTGCCTACTCCCCTCAGGTTTTTATTGTTATTTTCACAATTGGCAAAATTAATTTCTTTCAAACTGTTTTGATTTTTTAAACAATTGCATTAAATCTTTAAACAATAGTCTTAAACTATCGTGATTACTTCCTTTGTTTAATTGATAAACAGAAATTTATTATTTGGTGATATTTTTTGTGTGATTTAAATGTATTTATTTTTGGTGATTTGATATTGTTGAAAAAAATCTAAAGTATACTTCAATCAGTATAGCCTAGAATTTGCCGTTGAAATGAAATCCGCATTAATTCAAAGGTGTGGCAGAATCATTTTGGAAGATTGTGATTGTTAGGGATGATGACAAGGAAGACCCGGTGGAACGATTGAAGCTTGTGCTATCTGAGCCCAATAATTGCCTCATTCTCACTTCTAATTCAACTCTCATCAACATCTATGATCTCAACACAGGTTTGTTTTTATTCACTAAACTCATTCATTTCATCTTTATTTTAACTAAAATACCATGAAGCTTTTGAAAATAAGTTTGTACACCATTCTAATAATCTAAAAATGTTTTATTTTCAATTGTAAAAAAATTTTAAAATTTTACGTGACCACGAGATTGCTTGCTGGTGTTGAACTCAAGTTTTATATTTATTTTTTCTGATTTCTTTATTTGTTTGTTACAAAAAATTTCTCCTGTTAGGAGTCTCAACACGATTTTTTTTTTTAAAAATTTTTCCAATAAAATCTAGTGGTGTGCTTGAAAACAAAAATGACAATTTCTTCTTTTGTTTTATTATTTTTATATAGCTTTTTAGAATTTTGCAAAAAATGCTACCATAGCAGAAATTGTATCCTTAACGTTAATCTCTTTCAAAGTGAACTAATTTTTAAATTCCCCTCAAGCAATATAGAAATATAATTTTTAATCCCAGTCAGGACCACAATCAGCCGATTCTCTCTTCACTGCCCATGGTATCGTGTATTAAACGAGCCTTTCTGATTCTAGCATCCTGAAATCACACAAACATGATCTCAATACATTACTCAGCCTGGTTGGTAAGACATTAAAGTTGTGTTGTTCTCACAAACACAAATTAAAGCCAATTAAAGGTGACTGGTGCACATTAAATCTGTTGGGGTCACAAAGTCCTCCAAGTTCCTATAACAAATCACTGCCTCTCAAGGTTCTGAATTGGAGATTGATCAATCTCTGATTCAGGTCAAAATTATAGGCTGCGGATAAATGAAAAGTGTGTGATTGAATCTTCCCTCTGAAACGGGTTATGACGTATCTGTATTGGAAAATCGTTTTCTTGGCCATAAATGGCACTACTGAAACACAAAAACCTCTGCCTTAAAAATGCACTTGATCTGAAGCAGGCTTGCGGATATTGGCAAGTGGCATATCTAAGAACAACACATTACTCTCTTATTAATATGCATACATACTCTTTAGCATTTATAGTATGCTGACCTGTGGAAGTGTTTCTTTTTCATTCTGCTGATACTAGATTAATTAAATTGAGCACAAGTTTCATTATCTTTAGAAAAAAATTTACTTTTAACAAATGGAGAAAATTTATTTTCACTTTTATTGGTAAGAAAACTGATTCACAATTCAATATGATTACTCGGTAAATATTTTTGAAAAAATTTTCAGATCTTTTGTTGTAATTTTGAATATTTCATTATACATTTGTCAAATGAAAGAGGCCAATTAAATCGATTGGTTGCAATTGAACCAAATTATTAAATCACAAAAGTAGGAAAGAGCTTTTTTTTTAGCAGAGATTCTCGTTAATGCAAAGAAATATTTTTTTTTTTAAAAAGTCCCATAGTTTTCTTTACAATAGAATTGGTCTTCTGATTATTCTAATATCCAGCTTTAATATTTTTATGTAGATTATAATTGAAGCACTTTTCTTCTATCTTTCTTTAACATAAATTATGAAGTTGTCTTCAAATTTTTCTAATATTCAGATTGACATATTTTTATATAGATGATAATTGAAGCAATTTTATATGTATATGTATATTTCTTTAGCATAAATTATGATCGCCTGTCAGCACTTCTTGCTTGTAAAAAAAGATGTTTCTTTATTTTATTCTAACTCAATCATTTAATTTTTAGATGTATATATTTTTAAATGTCAATCAGAGCAATGATTGATTAATTTAATAGTAACTCCTCTATTTATTATGAAGAAATCTTTTCCTCTTACTTGACTATGTTACTTTTTCAGCAGGATTGGCATTTTGTCTAGAAAAAACCTATTTTTTCCAAGATAATGGAAGAAACTGAATGAAATTGTAGAAACTAAAAAAGACCCATCCAACTATTCAGAAACATTTCAAGAATCTCATAAATTTAAGCAAATTAAAATTAATAAATACCAGAAAGTTGAAAGTTTTTCACTTCTGCTTCAATAAATAAATAAGTTTTATACAGAATTTTAAAAATTTATATTAAACAGTCAGTTTTGGTATTCATACTTAACAGAACTTGATTGGAAATCAGGATGCTAATTGTAATTGTGAACTAATTGTGAATTGTGTGTTTGATAGTGTGTTTAGTAGCATTAATAAAATGTGATAAATATATAATTATAAAATTGGATTATACTATATTCATTCACATAAAATATTGTTAACTTGCCATTAATTTTTTAAAAAACTCTTAATTTTTTTTTTTTTTTTTTTGCTTTTCAATTTTTGTTTATTTAAAAAGGAAACAATAAGTGGCTTAAAAATAAATATAATTAAAACTAAATAGCAATTATAAAGTTTATTCATATTTGTTATTTCTTTTTGAAAAAAGTTCCTTCCATTTCTTCTACTTGTTTTAAAAAAAGCTTTTTTTTTTTTTTTTTTCATTTTTGAAATTAGCCTTTCCTGTTTTTCTTCACAACTTCCAAAGTAAATAATTGCATTTTTTCTGGGGAAAAATTAGAAATTTTAAACTATTTAATAGTAGGTGGAAAAGAATACTTTATATAAATAAATAAAAAAACATATTTATTCTACTTGGCCACAACAGGAAATGTATACTATTATGTATAATTTATACAAAAGGTCTTAAGGAAAAACAATTTCTAAAATGATAATATCAACAACAAAAAATTTGTTCCCTTTTGAGTTCCTACTAATGAAATTCAAAAACTGCTGACACATAACTTTCGCTTAATATTTTTAATCCACCTACCTAAAATTATAAATTGTGCCTTTGTACAGATTCCTGTTCTAAGATGCCTTTGAAGAAGAGGAAGGAGTTTAATTTAAACCTCAAAGAAGTAAGGACTATTTAATTGTACCGAGCTGTATTAAAAATGTGCATAAATCTGTAATCATTTAAAAGAAAAGAAAAAAAAGGAAAAAAACTTTTTTTTGATTTAGTACTTTTTGTTGTTCTAATACCTAGAATTTTTTTTTTACGTGATTATATTTCAAAGTAATATAGTTTCAAAATGTAATACTCGTACATTATTTATTAACTGCTTCATTTATATTTTATTTTAACTGTTTTAATTTATATTCCAGATCTTTATTAAACAGGAGTTACATTTTTTATTGGCGTATTGTAACTTATTCAATGAAATCTGAAATTAAAAATATAAATTTTGTATAAAAATTTTTGTAAATTCTAATTTTTTTTTTCTTGTTGTTCAAATCTCGCCAATTAGTCTCATTACTAACTTACGCATTTTGCCCAAAATTACTCAAAAAATTTTCGCTAAAACTTAGTAATAATTATATTGACATTGAATAATGATAGGCAATGGTTAACTTGCTTCAATTCATGAGCGGGATTTCCATTTGGAATATTTTACATTCCTTCCCTGTTTCATTTATAAAAAAAAATAATAAAATTTAAAAAAATATAAACCTTACAATTCTCATCCAAAAGGTTTAATCTGTACACATGTAGCTTTCTGAAATTTTGTTTGTAGATAGTAGTATTTTATTAGTTATTTGCCGTAGCTGTATATATTCATAATTTCCCTAAAAAAATTAATGTAATCTCTGGTGGAGTAAAAAGAAAAAAAATAGAAGAAAATATTACGTTCATAAAAATTAAAATTCCTTTTTATGTTATTGCACGCCGAAAAATTATTATTGTAAAAATTTATTATTTTCAAATAAATAATCTTTTTTTTTTAAAAAATGTAAGAAATTTTAAGGACCTAAAATCTGTTAAATTTGTTTGAAAACCATATCTTTATAATTTATTTTGACAGAAGCAATGTATATATTCTATAAAAAAAGACTTTATTTCCTGATTAAATAATACTAGTAACAGATTTAAAGTTTTAATGTACTTAATCATTGACTGGATGCCTGTGGATGTCTCTTAGCTTTCCCTTTCTGCATATAACTCCCATACATCAATCAGTACTTTTATTTTTACTGGAAAGAGAAATTTTTGTAAAAAATATTTTAAAAATTTAATCGAAACATCTTGATTTTTTTTTATGATACTCTCTGATAATTTATTCAGTTATACCAAAGAATATCCGTGGAGGAAGAAGGCTAGCTTTCGTAGGTATAATGCAAACCAGTTCTCCAAAGGTTGATATAATCTCTGAGTATAAAGGAAAAAACAAAACATATGGGCATGTAGCAGAAATTCTTAAAACTAATTTCCACCCTTCTTTCCCCCCAACCACTACAGGGGTTGGGGAAAAGAAGAAGTTTTCTTTTTTTATTTATTATTAGTCTGCACCACATTTTTGCACTATTGGTAAACAGTAATGTACCGTTAGCAAAGATATTTCTTTGAGTGTACATTAATATCATTCTATATCTGCTAACACATTTTGAGAAGGAACAAAATAGTGGTGCGAGTGGTAGCGTACCCAACCATACATGTAGAACAGCATACCTCCTGACAGTCACTTTTCTTCTTATGCGCTAGATCTTAATACATAGGATGCTCTGTTAAATCTGAGTATGTTGCTCACCCTGTAAGTTTTTTTTCCCTGGTATCTTATACCGAACTGAGCCGTTCACCGCGTTTGTTGCGTATTCTGAGAGCTGGAATTCTTCTCCTTTCTGTATTCTTTGGTTATACATTCTTAATAATTTTACCTTATGTATGTCTGTAATAATGTTAATATATTTTAAAATTAAATAAAATTTAAAAATCCAAAATTGGAATCTTTCAAATCTGCGTCTATTTGTGTTTTCAGAATAATACCAAATTTGTTTTTCTGTTTTAAGTTTGCATTGCAGCTCTGCTTTCAGTCTTTCTTGTTATGGTTTGTTTATTAATACCTTAATAAACAAATCCTGGTGGATAAAATTGATAGTTAAAAATTGGTTAACAACATGAAGCAAACTGTTATTTGTTTGTATTGTTGTTAGGTATTATTTTTTATTTATGATGCATTCGAGATATAATTGCAAATCTTACTCACAACACTTATAATAAAAAAAATCTATTTCTTCGATGACACATTGCATGATAGTGCTGAAATAAGAAAGTTTTATCTTTTATTTTTGGCTTCCCAGAAAAAAGTACCTAATAATAAGTTTTATATGAATAATTGTTTATACTAGAAAAACTTTGGGACATTATAAATTTTAAACAATTTTGTATTTGAAACCTAAAAACTGAAACAAGTTCATATAATATATCATTAATGTTTTAAATAGCAAATTTTTCAGGACAAACTTCTCTTGAAAGCAGAGTTTTAAACTAAATTTGATGTAGTAAATAGCAATAATAAATTTTTTCAAATTAAAGGCTTTTAAAAAATATCCATATTAGTTAAATATTTTTTTATGAAATGCTTAAAAATAAATATCTATAATAATAATTGTCCAAAGAAATCCATTTTTTCCAACACTTTCTTTTTTTCCCCTTTTTTATGTGTGTCTATAGTACAATTAAAATTAAGGTGATTTTTTCTATAATTTTATTCCCGGGTTTTCTTTTCAATTTTTTTATTGAAATAAAAAAGGCAACTATAACCCTAATCCCTAGCCCTAGTGCACTAGTATTATGTAAACTAGAACACCAACATGGGATGCAGTTCACGAATATTATTTTTGTATCATAACAAGCCAGGTATTCAGTCACTGATAAGAAAATTGAGGAGTTTGATTACAGTACTAAAAGGATTGTTTGACTGTCTGCATTATTTGATTTCTTGTAAACTATTTTCTATTTCATTTAATATTTATTTGTGTTCTTTGATACATTTTATCCTTATTATCGCTTATATAGTTTTCTGTTTAAATAAGAGGTCCTGTATTGCAGGAGTGCAATGATAACTGTGATGAATATTCTCAGAGTACTCAAATGGAGGTTTTGTCCGATAACATCCCAGACACTACAGTTGTTCCCGAAGCTGAGGAATGCCCAGATGGTAAAACTTTTAACACACATATTAATGAAAAGTCTATCAGTTATTAGATATTGTGACGTATTTGAAGATAGTTATGTTATTCAGCGATAACTGTCTTCAATTTATAGATATTCAATATGTAAAAACTTTTCCTTTGCTGCTATTGGTAGAAGTATTTTTGCTTTCTGAAGACGCCTTGTACTAGTAAAACCAGGCTATGAATTTATTGGTAGTAATAACATTGTATTTAAAATATCGAGATTTTATAAATGACATAGAAATTGCCAAAAAAATGATAAACCGTAATAACTGCTGTAAAAGCAATTGAGTAATTAACCTGATTTACAATGGCATAGTCGTGAACTGAGCGCATCAAAAATTAATTACTCAAATTTTAAATCCGTGTCTTGTAAATGCATTGACTAATAATAGTATCATCATTTGAAAAACCATGTAAAAAACGTCAAGGGGAAAAATAACTGCCTGGAAAATGACGCGAATTAACGATGGAATAGACACGAATCAAACAGGCTAAAAAGTTATTACTTATATTCGAAATGCGGTTTCCGCAGTAGCGTCGTATTAAGAAATAGGAAATTGAAAAACCATGTGGAAATGACTGAAAAAGTTTAAAATTATCCGAAGAAGGTGTAGATTTACAACAAAAACGTCGCTAATTAAGCCCCTCATTGTCATAATATATCGTGTGTCACTGTCATAATATATCGGAATTTGAAAAACCAAGTCAAAAGAACCGTAAAGGTGAAAAAATTCTGTCGAGAGAACGAAATGGATAGATAATTGAGTAGCCGCAAATAAAGCAAATAAAAAAATTTATTACTCAAATTCGCACTGTTGGTGTAGCAATATTACAATATTAAAAATATTGGAGTTGCAAAAGCATGTAGAGATGACCAAAAAAAAACAATAAATTTCTGTAAAAATATAATCAGAAAACGACTTGGATTTGCAGACAGTTTTATTGTGATCTGATTGAGTGTCAAAAAACGATTACTCTAATTCGAAATTCGTGTATCATAATATCATAATAACATTGTGATTAAATACTGTAGTTCCATGTGGAAGTGACTGCAAAAACTGTAGGAAAATCACGTGTATATTTACGATAAAATCATCGTGAATCGAATCAGAGAACTCTCTTTTGAATCCAGAATTGCCCATTCAGCCCAAGGATGATGAAAATTTTCCTCAACATTTAAAAAATTCCCTTCCCCCATTTCCACAGACATCAAAACTCTATGTAATATAATTTAAACAACTCCATTTTTTTAGCTGTATCTATCTCAATTAGATTCCATGTTAGAACTATTTTGTTTAAATTATATTTAGAAGACAAAATTAACTTTACAGTAAAGAATCACTGATAAAAAAAAACGGTCCATTTATGATTGTAATGTAAAACTGACTCATTTTATCGTGATTTGCTGTTCTCTGTAAAATTTATAGTTGGGTACAAAAGTTTTGAGACAATAATTTTTTTTTTTTTTTGTTCTAACTTTTTCTGTAAGCAAAATTTTTTGATGATGTAAATTAGTAATTTGTAGCTTTAGTCATCCTGCATGAGGAACAACTAATAATAGACTTGAAATTTTTTGATTTAACTAACACCAAATGAGAATTTGAAAAATTGAAATCAAAAGTTTGGAGATGATTCTAAACATTAAAGAGATAAATGTATTGTAATTTTTATTCAAAAAACTTCTGGCATATCATATAAATTGCAATTGTTTTTCTTTCAGATTGGCAGAAATTTGGAAAAACGTGCTATAAATGGTATCGTCCAGCAACATCGTGGGCGAATGCACAATCTATTTGTGAAGAGCAACCACGTGGAAATCTAGTACGAGTTGAGTCTCAAGATCATAACAGATGGCTAGTGCCAGTAGCCAACAACAGACCATTTTGGATCGGTAACAACTTATTTTTCTGTTACTTATTTTATAATGTAGACAATGTAACCTCAATAAAGAGGACACATATGAAAGGACTCATAAAGTTGCATACTGAAGAAAAGGACATGCTAACTGAAAAATCTAATGCCATTATCTATTATTGGTTGGATAAATACATAATTAGAAATGAATTTCATTATTATTTATTTCAAATTATTACATTTATATTGATTAAAATTTTAAAAAATATATAAAAGTGCATTTATTTTATGTGTACAGTACAGCAGAAAAGAAAAAGTATCACTCTGCATAACTTTTATATCTAATGATCAGATAAGTTATGAAATCAGATGGTAAGTGTACATTCTCTAAATAAACATACCTTTTTTTAGATGGATTCAGGTTTCTGACCCCCAAAATTTGTAAATAAGGTTCTCATAATTAATTTTATTTTTTGGCGTATTTCTCCTTATCTCAAAAACTTTATGAGCACAATTATAAAATTTGTTTATCCAAAGATTATTCTGTGCAAAAAATAAGTTTTAGTAAGTATTTATTATTTTATTTAAAAATAGTCACAAAAAAAATTTGTCCACCTAGCATTTAGTAAAAAATGAGCAATTGCTTAGTTATAATTATTAGGGTAGATGTCCCACTTGAGTTACATTCAGCAAAAAATTATAGATATCATCATGAACGCTTTGCCATTTCAAAATCATAATCATTACGTAAACATTGTTTTTATTAATAAAAGTTTTGTCTTTTGCAGATGTATTTTGTTGATATTTAGTCGGAACCACCAATGAAATACCATAAAAAGTTAATATTACATTGAATTTTCTATGAAAATTTTGAGCATCAAATTTAAAAGCAGGAAAAAAAATCTCTAAAATTTTTAGTTACCAGTTTTCTTGACTCTTATAATTTATTCTTTTTCTGTTAAATTAAAATGAATAGATTTTTTCATGTGTTATAGCAAAAAAATATGGAAGAATGTGTCAATAAATATCGACTCATTCTGTCAGGCAATTGTAAATGATTTGAAAGAACTATAAACGAAAAAAAAAAACTTTTATGAGGTGTTTATTTTTATTCCTTATGTAGGTAATCGTCCTGAAGATGAGTCAGGTTTCACAAACTGGAAAAAGGGATCACCTGGAGGAAAACATCGGTGCGTTCTAGTTCGAGGATCCGGTATTTGGATCAACAAAAATTGTGAAGCAAACCAGAGTTTCATTTGTGAACAACCCATTTAATGAGAATGCATTTTTACAATTTTAATGAGTAAAATTTCGATTTGAATATAATTTTATTACTTTCAAATCAAATTTTAAACGTTGCACACAATGAATCTTTGTGTTTTAATAAATAAATATAAGTGAGTAGGATTATTTATCATTGCAAATGTGACAAACGTCTTTTTCACAGGGACATTTTCATACGTTAATAAAACTATGATATCGTCGGCTACCTTTTTATTTCGGGTACAGCTCGAAAGAAAATGGATACAACTCAAAATGCATGTTGAAGAAAATGTACTCAGCAAAAAATGCATCTTTTCAGTTTACAACCCAAATTTAATAACTATACCAGAAACTTCGTGGTTAGGATGACTAGATATATTACAGATGTATTTTTTCATGCAATGTCTTCATATTCTAAACCATGAAGTGAATTTTAAAACTCAATTTTTACAATGTAAATTTACTGTCACTATTATAAAGCTATTACACCCATGGCAGCCTTGTAAAAACAACTGTTGATTTTTAATATCGTTGCAAAAAAAAATTCTTAAAAAGAATATGTTAAGAGTTTCAGGGAAATGGATGACATTGTATTACAAATATATTTGAATCTATTAGTTTATTCTTCAAAAAAAGTATAATGTTCATAAGAGAAGTTTCATAAACAAGAATCAAATGTTATATCCATTTTCTTAAACATTGATATATACCAATTTTTTTTAACATCTCAATTTCATTGCCATCAGTTTAACCATATGTTTTTGTGCTTTCTGATTTTCATTCTCTGCTAATGCTGTTTAGTTTTGCTTTCAAAATTCTTCTGGAAAGATAGTAGTTCGTCCTTAATCTTTTCACTGTCATTCTCGTCTTCTAAATTATAGGCTAAGATGTAGAAAATGAAAGAAGCTGCATATTCTCTTTATGAATTGGGATTAAATTTGTGAAGTAGTCATGATTTGTGCATAATTTATAAGCTTAATTCAAAACCGCATAGTTCATCATGATTGTGTATCAAGATAGGTCAATTTTATTTTTTTTTAAATCAAAATTGCCTGTGGTGAAAAAAGTTGAATATTGGTATCAAATCTATGTAGCGAATTATTTTTTAATCAAAATATATTTAGATCCCTCGACAGGTCTTTGAAATGTCTTTAATTTTCTTTTTTAAATATCAAAATTTTTAAGGCACTTGCAAGAGAAATTGATGCCTTGTAAAATCTGACGGAAAAAAATGTTTGCATAATTTAGTGTTGAAAAAAAAAATTTATTATATCATATTAAATTTACTGCCCCTGCCAGGCCTTAAACATTTTCAGGATCAAAATATTTTAACCTTTTGAGGCAGAGTTTTTAATAAATATATTTCGAACAAATCTAAAGTCATTTTTAAACCTTTATGACATTAATTTTCAAAAATATATGAAAATAATTTTTGAAAATATATGTGGATATCTTTTTTTTTTTAAGTGAAGTTTCTACTACATTTAGTACAAGACATGTTTTTCATTTTTAGTGTGATGGCCATCAAGTTGCTTTTTTTTATTTAAAAAAACGCCTATTACATAAGTCACAAAAATATTTTTTTCTTTTTTGTATTATTATGATCTTTCATATTTGAACTGCTTTTGCTGGCATACATAATAATAACCAATATAACTAATATGCCTATGACACAGTTTTTCTTCTTTCTAGCTATAGTATTCAATACAAGATCATTTATTAATTCCCAATTTAGAAAATTAAATTTCTATACATAAACATTTAAATAAAAAAAGTAAGATCATCTTTGTATTTAAAGCCAATATATTTTAAGTTTAAAAATAAGTATTAGAATACTACTAACATTTGCAGCGTATGAAGCATGTTATGTATGCATTTTTAAGGAAGAATTCCGCATCGGTATCTTCTCCAATTTTTGGCAACTTCCAGACAATTTCCCACATGAAAGTTTAAAAAAAATTTTAAAGAATCGCAGAAAGGGACCAACTCAAAGTTTATAACTGTTAGCCACCCCCACATAAACTTCTAAATATTTTCTTTTTAATATTTTGCAAGTTTAAAATCCCTTTGGTGCCTTAATGAATGTATTTGGCTCAAGCAGGTACCGATACAGAAATGTTTATGTTTAGATAAACAAATTTTTAATTTAACTTGTGATTTTAGGAATTAAAAACTTGATGAGCATAACCTTCTATTCATAATTTTTCTCTAATCTAAGCAGTAAATTGAGTACTCGAAACTTGAAAAAAAAATTTAATCTAACACAATGAGTGAGTAATTACTGAACAGTGAGTATAACTTTTGTTAAAAAAATTCATAATAGCACTTTTAACATCGCAAAAATTTCTTATACTTTAAAGCGTTGTTTATGCAACGATAAAGAGGAGTTCACGCTATTTTATCACGTTTCTTTTGTTTGGGTTGAAGTGAAGTGGATATAGAAATAAGCTTGTTTTATGACTTGCTTTAAACTCCAATGTGTATATAATGCATAAAATTAGAATAGAAAAAAAGTTTATTCTTTTGCTACGTAAAAGCTTTGCAAAAAAATGTAAATATTTAAATTTGTAACATAAATTTTATGAGAGAGGTATCACGCTACGCTGAAGTTTTTCGTAGCTTTCGAGTAAACAAGGGCGCCGGCAGCGGGGTGCAAGGGGGTGCACTTGCACCCCCCTGGTTTTTTTAAACAATCAAAGAGTTACAGAAAAAAAAATTTGTTATAAATTTTTTTTATTAAACATATTTTTATTGAAAAACAAATAATTAAGTAATTATTGATACATAACAATTAAAAAATTATTAAATCAAATAAGAACTGTAATCGTCTTGTTTGCTGTCCAAATATGTTTATAACTTTTTCAATGAATCAGCTTTGATTCTTTTCTTATACACACTGAGCATGCACGAACTTGACAGATATCTAAGCTATATTTTTAAATTTCGTTTAATAAAATATATGTAATATTATATTTTCTATTAGTAATGTAGTTTAACCAAGGTGTAACACAAACTGACTTCTCACAACTGTGAAACTTCATCAACACAATAAATACCAATGTTAAGCGTGCACAAACACGTTAGTATACGAAACTACTGTTTGTAGTTATTTGTGTTTCAAAGTCAGTAGCTATGCTAGCGCCATCAATACAGTTTCTCGTGACAAAATTTGCAAGTACAAGAAATACGTACTTTTTTTTTAAATATCTTGTTAACAATGAAGAAATGTATCTTGAAAAAATTAACAGATGAAAGTATATGTAATAACAGAACAAAATGTAATAGCAGAATATTGAAAGGAAAAAAAAATTGGGGGGGTAGGGGGCGGTAGTTTGTTAGAGAGTTGAGAGAGAGTTTGTTGAGACAGAGAGTTTGTTAGAGAGGGAGTTGCACCCCCTTTCATATTATTCTGCCGGCGCCCTTGCGAGTAAATATGAATTTTTTCTGTATCTTTAATGAATAAAAAAACTGCACTAAAAAGGATGGGGAAATATTAAAAAGGGTTACAACAAAAATGTCTGGAAGTAACGCATGCCAATAAATATGCCAAACTGGTATTTTTTTTTATTTTCACCTGCACAAATTTTCATAGTATAAATATCAATTATATTTATGTTCTTTCTGGTTAAATTCTTTATTATTGCTACTTTTTGTGTCAATAAAATCTGTATTTATTTGTTGCCTTATCTTTTAATGTATTCATAATAGATGAGAATTATTTTATAGTGGCAAAGCATTACACATCATACAATAAACTATACTAAAATGTTAGGCTTGCTGAGATTATGGATGTTATGGATAATTATTTAAGCGAGGAAGAAACATAAACAACGTGGAGATCTGTCAAATCACTAATGAGGAAGATGGGATGAAAAACATCAAAATATATTTAATTACGAGTTTAAAATTTGAGGTGTTTCTAATAATAATCGACTTTCAAATTCTCTGTTTCTTCAGTCAAGCAGGCTTTGATGTTTTTGTTCCCACCTTCTTCAGTTTGTTAGATTTTGATAGGGTTACTGCTTTTTCTTTCATAATTATTAATTACTGGCTCCTTATGTATATACGTTTTTAAATTTTTGTGACAAAGATTCTAAAAATACACATGAAGGGATAGCAATTACTGAATACCTTGTGAATCTAAATCCATATTTTAAATTAATTTTTGTGTAAAATACAAACAAAAATTATTCTATGTTTAAAAGCTTATTTCCGACACATATTCTTAATTTTTTCTTGTATGTAAAAAAGTTTGAAGATGTTAGGCCTAACATTTTCTTATTGAAGATTCCTGAAAATTAAACTTTATTCTTACATTATTTTCCTTGTTCCAAATATTTAGCTGTTGTTCATATTTCATTAAAATTTAATAATAATAGGTTTTAATTTTGAATATTATCACCAGCAATGCACAATTAATGTTTTTTGGTTTCACGACCAGCCATTAACTTAGTAGCCCTGTAATTTTGAGCCTAATCCAGGAGACAAAGCAACTTCTGGATTGAATATTGAAGCAAACTCACCTTCATGGAAACTTTTTAATAAAACTAATCCAGATTTGCTTTACATGAAGAAGCAAATCGCGAAAACCATTCACCGTTAGTCCGTCGGATAGAGAATTTCTAATCGATGATCACTAGGGATATTTTTCATCAGCCATAGGTCAGAAGCTGTCTCCGAGATTCAAACCTATGTTACTAATCGGAAGGTGAGTTCACTATCCTCTGAGTCAATCTTGTTAATAGATATAAAGTTTAAGTGTCCTTAATCGTCAATTGAATACTTCCTCTGTCTTGCCAAAGACAACTATAAAAAAGTTTAGTGTTGTCCGTCATTGGTTGATCAACTTTTGGGTAAATAAACTGATTTAAAAAATTTATATTTTTTTAAGTAAATTAAACTTAAGGGATACTTTTAACAGCTTCAATGCACAACTTTACTATCACATAAAACAGGGAATATAGAGTCCTTTCAAAGAAGAAATAGGTGCATTCTGTATTTAGTACGTTTTAAAAAAAAATATTCTAAATTATGAAAAAAATATATATATATATAAAATTTCTTAATAAAAAGTTTATTTTGTAAAATTTCTTAAATTGTACCATATGATGAAGTAATGGAGAAGTAGAAATGCAGCAAATCGAGATTTTTAGAGCCACTTAGTTCAATCCTATCTTCTTTTGTTTAATCAACCAATTTTCTTGTTATTCAAATTCTTGGGAATTTTTCAGAGGAAGGATCAATTTGAAGCTAGTTACATTAAGAGATATGCGTATCAGATTCTCCGTAAATATCCATATTTATTTGGAAATTTTTAAAATAATATTCTTAAGGCTAAAACAGGCTTACTTTGAGGCATGTGCTTTATAACCGTCGTTGAACAGCCGAATTTTAGGTTTACGACTGCCAATGTTCAACTCCGTAGCCTTTTAATTTTGAACCTAACCAGACAAAGGAACTCTAAGGTATTGGGAGAAGTTAGCCATCGTGGAGCACTTTTTGATGGAACTAACCTGCATTCACGTTACATGGAGAGGAAAATCTCTCACGTTTAGCCTGACGGCAAGGGTACTTTCACCATGCCATGATCCGTCTACCACTAAAGATATTTTTCGGTGTGAGCCGTGTGCGGAATTCGTAACGATTAGCCATCGCTGGATTCGAACCCGATACACCTCATTGAAAAGCGAAAGCTCTATCACCTGAGCCACCACGGCTCTGATGCATGCGTTTTATTTTATAACTGTCGTTGAACAGACGACCCAGTTTTGTGCGCTTACGACTACTAATAACTAGCTTAACTCCGCCCCCGTAAGGTGGCATTCTGGGACACTCCGAAAGTTCGAAGTGCGCGCAACAGTTCAATCACATAAGCAAACATATTCAAAATTTTCAAATTAGAGTTTTAACAAATAGGTAGGATATTAAATATGAAGTCCAGAAAACAGCTTTACTGAGAGATAAACTAAATACAAACAAAGAAAATAAACAGTATCAATCAGAAGAGATATTGATGTCGCATCTACAGTAGAGATG